TTGCACATTGTAGTTCTTTTCACGCTGCATCTCCTGGTATATTTTGTTTTTCTAAAACAACTTATTAAGTGATGCAAAAATGAAATGGAAAAAGGCCGTTTTTTTTTGTCCGAGGGAGAATGATGCAAACATTCCAGAAAAAATTAAAAATATTTTGAGAACCAATGTTGAAAGCTCTTTTTAACTGTCTTTTTAAAAACAATTCGTTCTTATCTTGTTTTCAAGTATTTAGTAATGGTTCGAAAAGCTCAAAATGATGGCAGCCGAAGAAACTGATTTCTCACTATTTTTGGATTATCTCCTATGTATTCTGTTGTATTTTCTTGTTCTTTTCTTCACTAGATTCGTCGTTTCATTTTTCACAAGTAAAAATATATAAAATATCCGTAAATTTTACATTTGAAAATATTAACGGATCAATATGAATTTAATGTAATTGTAATAGCGTTGTTTTATGAAAATATAAGAAATGATGGGTAAACAAAGTACGGGATACTGCCGATGTTTTTAATTTAATTCATACAAAGAGCAAACACATTATACTGTTCGATAAAAAAAAGAAAATTCGATCATAACATTGTATTTTGAAAAATTACCATTCACTCTGTAAAAACTTTATGGACTCAATATTTGTTTCTAATTTACAATTTTCATGAAAACTATATTCTAGCAAAAGAAACATGATAAGAAAAGGAGTTTTTGGATCAATCACATCAACAACAAGTGCTCTCTTCAGCGCATTGTTTCGTCGTGCCACGCTATCCCTTTTCGATTAATTTCGGACAAGACGTGCATGAAAAACCCACGTGCTAAACATAATGAATACTGTATTCTCGTATTTGTTGAAATTACTGAATCATTCACCTTTTTACATAATAATAGCCATTAGTCTCAAACTCTTGCAGGGCAAACATATACGACGAAGAATCCGTGGATTTCTCTTGTTCTACTGGCGGTCTGTCCACATATTGATTGAGAAGATTTCGAGAAAGAGATCAAAGATCAATATGCGAAGATCTTTGATGTTATTCGTATTGGGAATAAAGCACAACAACCAGTATGTAGTGTCAAACTTGATTTTCAAGTCTTTCAAATGTCGAAACCAAGTGCTTGAAGCAGATAAAGTATCACTGATGCATATGAAGCACAAACTCATCGAATATTATACTCAAACCAATGTGTTAATTGATTCTAACTGTTGTGACACTGGACACTTCCGAAAAAACTGCTTGCAGATAGACGAAGTTACATATCAAGTGTGTGGTCAGAGATGTATCGAATTGAAGAGTCAGCAATGATTCGGGAGTGTTGAAATGTATCCATTGGAGGGAAGAGCATAATTCAAGGGATACACGATGCAAAGTGATCAAAGATTATCGTGCTACGCTCCCTCAAAATTTATGACGGACGACTGTCTTATTCGGTCGTTACCAAAAAGATACCTTCAAATTCAAATGATAATGTATCGAAAAAAATCTATTGTATTACGGTTATCGCCGGAAATGAATCAAAAATTTAAAGAAATTTGTAACAGAGATGGTGAGATAAAGCAAAAAGTTGTCTCTCTTGAAAAAGGTGACAAAATTATGGAAAAAATGCTTGATGTTCACTCGAAACATGTACGAAGGATGTTGTTAAATATTTGCAAAGCTATGCTCAATCCAATAGGTACAAAAAGAAGGTGACCGGAAATCATACTGACAGGAGTAAATTACATTGTTATCAGCATTTACTACTACTTGCTCTACGGTATCTCCATGATGCAAAGTAGTTCTATGGTCGACAATATACTTGATACAGATGCACTCTATTTTCTCAAGTCCGCTCAAAACTCTTTTCCAGTTAAGAATTTACCACTTCTTTCCTAAACACTAATCGAATGGCACTCATTGCTTACGTTCAAGGTACTTTTTTCAACAATAGAATGAGAGATATGATAGAGAAAAGATCAAGTCTATTCAATGGAATGAAGACGATAAAGGGTACAGCCGATCGAGCGGAATTTTTTAACACAGATATTGAAAGTATTCTTTGGAGGTAGAGCCATCCGAATGTATAGGACTTCAAAAGTCAAATCTCTGACTTTAGCTTTGAGCCTTTACGCATTTTTCTCATAAAAAAAAGAAAGTGAGATTTCCAAAAACAAAACGCAACACAACCTGTGCGATATAGTTTTAAATATTTTAAAACACATCTCACCCCAATCGGACAAAATTTGATGGAGACCGTAAAGCCCAATTTGATGTTTTTCTCGAACACGTGTCTACTTGTTTTAAGTGCCCTATCTGTGGTGAGAATTTCGTCTGATTGGTTGCACTCTTGCCAAGAATCAGAGATAGTCAAATATGACAGGAAAGGAAAATTTATTTAATACTCAAAAACAGGAGATGGTGAATTGATGTTCTTGATTTTTCGAAAGAATGTTTTAGCTGATTAAAAATGAAGTGACGTCGTTCTAAGAACTTTTACATCATCTGTTAGAACAACTCAGTCAAAATATTGCGCTGATAGGATTTTTTAAAATATTCCATCACATTCAAATGAACAATAAAACTATATAGACTATATTAACACATATCAATTCTTTTGTAAAAACAAAAACATCGATTACAATTCAACAATTGATAAATGTCTTTTGCATAGCAAAATAGAGAACAATTTGCAAATATGATTTATCTTTCTTTGTTATTAAATTTAACTCCTTGAACAAACCTTTACACATAAAACCTAGTAGAAATTAGTTTAATAACAAAAGCAAAGAGATGAATACAAAAATATCTGCACATCTGAATTATTTTTCTTTGGATATAACAAGAAAATTTTTATCTAATGCATATGTATGTCTATGATAATGATGGTGAAACAATAGTCCATAAAATATCCACACCACTAGTACCTAAATTTAATGATCTACAAAAAAGAAAAGAAAATAGATGCTCAACTAAAAGAAATTTTCTTTTGTTTTATAACTTACCCAATATGTCCATTCCGAGTTGAATTAACACATTCAACAAATAGAAGAAGACAATCAAGCAAATTATGATCACCCTTATAATAAACGAATACATGAACTCTAGTTGTTTAATTAAAAGAAAAACAATTCACTTACTGCTGGTACGTCATGAATTTCACCATTTGATAAAACTTTATAAACTGGTGGTTTTTCTTGATAGACAAATAAAGCTGTCGGATATCGAGCTATGTCTAAAAAAACAAAGGTATTATCAATCTTTGAAAGACTATAATGTGAAATACGATGTATAATGGCGAAGATAAGTTAAGAGGTAGTTGTATTTTCAAGTTTTCTTCTCAATGGTAATAGTTAATGAGAATCTGAAAAAATACTTGTGTAGCTAAAAGGACTCTGTATTAGCATTGATAGGCCTGATGACTCCAACAAAATCGTTTGGATGAAAGTCTGTGGAAAACCAATACTTCGAAAACAATCTTTTTCCAAAGGCTTCAAACAGAAGTTAGATAGCTGATTTTCAGGACCTTAATTCTCATCAGTTCCTCATTCAAGTAGTTTTGCTGAACTCTTCGAGAATATCAATCCTTTCAGCTACACAAATATTTAGTCAGATTCTTACTAGCTATTACTATAGAAAAGAAAACTTAAAAGTACAACTGCTCTTATCAAAGAGAGGTTGTTTTGTTCTATCTGTTTTGCAATTTCTTCACCCTTCTTATACTTGATCCTCTGCAAATGCAATAAGAAAGTAGTTCATATATTATAGCAAGATGTCATTCATATACCGTTTTTGACTATATGTTAACAGTGTCCGTCACGGTACAAATTTTTATTCCTATACTTCAATTAGTTCTTTCAAATCGTATTTGACAATAATATAAAATGTCTGATCTCGCATTTTTTTTTTCAAAAGATATATTTACTTGTTAATTGTGCTTGTCGTACAACATAATTACCACGAAATACTTTTCCATCTAAGAATCGTGGATCTGGTGTAAGACGTCGGTCAAAATAAATACAAAATAAATTAAATACAAGTTCAGCATCAGTAATGACACCTGATTTCCAATTATAATCCGACATATATGTACGAGCTAAGACTAGACAAAAAAAAAACCAGAAGAATTTTTATTAACAAAAATAAATAAATCCGACGAAATTTGTTTTATTTACTTTGTATTCGAGAAAGAATATATTCTTGATTTGAATGAATTTCAAAATTAGGTAATATTTCATTTAATTGAGAGACTAATGTCGTATTTGTACATGAACGAATAAATGATTTTATTTCATTGGTTGTTGTTTCTAAGAAAATTTAATACAAAAAAATAAAATAAAATTGTTTAAATATTAAACCTCCACCCTTAACCCTTTACCCCCCAATGGGTCATATATGACCCATTTGTAGACATGATCGCAGAAAATAAAGAAAGCATGAGACTGAAAAACTCCCAAGACATTATTTGTAGGGAACTTCACGAGCTACCGATTGGTAAAAAAAATATTTTGTTTCANAATATAGTATTCAAATTTCTCTTTACTTTTAGTCCAGACAGTTTTTTGCATTTAAATGAAAAAACATGGAATGCAAGTAAGAAACAAAGACGTATGATTTAAGAACTTTCCAACATTTTTATTTATTTTAGAAAGATTAATTGTTTGACGTGGAGATGTTTGATTAAGTAAAATTTTCAGACGATCTGTTGTTATACCTGATGTATCACGCACAAAACTACTGTTCGGCGATATATTAAGCATAGTTGAATTGAGCGTGAAAAATTTTTGAAATAATGAATTGTAGTTGAAATGTTTCTTTTGCAAGACTTTTCGACCAATAGAATTATAAATAAAAGATGTCGTTAGATATTTTTTATTATTTACATAAAATAAATAAAAATTAAGAATCAATTTTATATTTTATTTATTAAAATTAATTTTTTTCTTCAAAAACAAGTCAAGTTATTAAATGAAATTAAATAACCAATCTATAGAAATAAATGACTCATCAAAAGAAGTTTTGTTTATTTCTTTTTCTACATTCAATTCATACTTTATAAACATTGAAAGATGTTCTCGTTTCCTAATCGATTTTACTTATTTTATTTCAAATTGACGATATCATTTTAGATTTTTCGAGTATAAAAATCATGTCGAAAGTACAAAAACAACGTGTGCAAACATTTGGTCGAAAAAAAACAGCCACGGCCGTCGCTGTCTGTCAACAAGGTACAAAAAAGATATATATTTTCTTCTTTATGTTTAATTTGCTTAAAAAAAATAATCTTTAATTCAAGGTCACGGTTCAATCCGTGTTAATGGTCGGCCACTTCATCTTGTCGAACCACAAGCACTTCGTTTTAAACTTGAAGAACCAGTCTATCTTCTTGGTCGTGATAAATTTGCTAATGTTGATATTCGTATACGAGTAAAAGGTGGTGGTCGTATTGCACAAATCTATGCTATACGACAAGCATTAGCTAAATCACTTGTTGCTTATAATCAAAAATTTGTTGATGAAGCAACAAAAAAACAAATACGTGATATACTCGTACAATATGATCGTACATTACTTGTTTCTGATCCACGACGATGTGAACCGAAGAAATTTGGTGGTCCAGGTGCACGTGCCAAATATCAAAAATCGTACCGTTAAACGTGTGGAATTACTTGTTTTTCTGTTGTACGCTTTTTTGTTTTGAAAATTGAGCGCACGTGAAAAAAAAGAAAGAAAATAATATAAGAAAATATTAATGAACGACGAATAAAAACAACATGATCCGTCGGTCATATATATATATAAACTGTTTTATTTTGTCTAATGAATATAAGAATCTGTAAATTATTGATATAGAAGAATGACAATTTTCTTTTCAAAATAGCTTCGACAATCTATAATGTAAACCTTTTAGTTTTGATAAAAATAAGTTGATACTTATCATTATTATAATATTGAATAATTTCATCTAAATTACTATATTATTCTCTCTTAAATTTATTTAGTATACTTTTAGAGGAGATAGAATATTAATCCCAATATAATGCACTAAGTTTGATAGAAAAGTAAAGAACAATTATCATACTAATCCAGAAGTGAACTTTGATTTCGGGCTTCTTTCTGTGACGGTGGAAAGGCGTCTGTATATATACATAGACGAAAATATATACTAGTAGATCAAATGCGTTTCACAAGTTTCCATACAGCTTGGGAGATGAACGATACTAAACCGCTGGAAGAACCTTTCGGCGATTATCAAGAGGTACAAGCAAAAATGATGTATATCATGCATATTTTATTATTGTAAACTGAGAGATATACTTAAAAAATTTGTATCTAAAATACGTGTATTGTTAATAATATTTTGTCATATCAAAAAGAAAGATGCTACTCTTGTCTACTCCAAACTATCATGGTAGAGCTGAAAAGTACGAGTTTTCAAGTCGTTCTACTTTCACGTTTTTGCAATGATCACTGAAATAATCGAACTACTTCGCATAAAGTGTCATTAGTCTGATGATTCTATCCATACCATTAGCATATCAAAAAGATCAATCATGTACTTGTGTGATTATTTTATCAATGGTTGTTCTGAAATCACTCATTGACGATAGCATTGATAACTAGATGGCACATGGGCTAAAACTTTACTCACCGTTCATGAGATTATAAAACTTTCGACCGGTCGAAATGTCAAATTTAGAGAAAAAAAATATATTTCTATATTGTACCAAGTAGAATGATGACTTTAATGCACGTTTCTCTTCAGAAACCGACCATCAACACGAACTGTTTGGTAGATATATAAAGGACACTACAAAAGCTTTTTGGCTGATTCTAATGCTGTTTTTCAAAGTACCAACTCTCATCAACAATACATTAATGCATACGATTAAAATAGATAATCGAGAAGGAGTTTGAGATCGTTATTTTTAAGAAACTATTAATATCTGCCTAAAGCACATGAAAAATTGTATACCTGTCGTTGAATTTAATTTCATGCAATTGTGATATCAGTTTTAGCAGCAGAAAGAAGTAATATGGATTCAGATCTGTGGAATATGATTTTTGGTAAGAAACTCTTTGAGATCCTCGAATATCCATGATATTGCGTTTTAATAGTGAAAACTGAGATATTAAAACACCGATCTTTTGTTTCTTTTCTGATATAGTCTGAAAACTTATGCTAGGCAACTATTGATAGGCTAATTTCTGTCTACTCGAGGGTGTGGGTGTGACTGTGACTGTGTGTATTGCTTGAGAGAAGACCCATTCACATCTACACCCATGTTCAAATGAAGGTGTGTCGTATAATATCAAATCAATAACAAATTGAAAATAATGACCACGAAAACTATTAGTAAGATGTATGAAACGAATCAATGTAAATGGTATTGAATAAATATGACAGTGTTTCAGAAGGGAACACAATTGTACAAATATAACATATGATTCTTAATTACATTCTATTGAAACATAGAGTATGTTTATTCAAATTTGGTATTCGACAATCATAAGCATTCCTATATAAAATACTGATTAAAGAGAATTATTTCAGATTAGATAAAACTTTTTATAGAAAAAAATAATCTACGTAAAATTGTCTATTCATAAATTTTTTATAATACACATATCATCCTATAAATAAAATATATCAACTTCATTATCAGTTGTCATTAGTGATCTTTGAATGAAACTATTATTTACAGTGAATAAAGTTAATTGATCCAGACGACCATCAAGTAAACAAAGACAATTATCAAAAAGTTCCATATTAACAAATAGAATATGTAAGTGCGAAGAGCACCAAATAATTTGTACGGACGCCGAGAATACGTGCACATGTATCTGATCTGCGCAAGGAACCAGCGAAGGATCATCGATCCTTCTAATAATATGATTATATTGGTATTCATAGTATGATGATAATAAAAGACTATTCTTTACCTGTTAAATAATCTAAAAGTAGGTTCAGTGGAGACAGTACCAAGACGATCATACCAAACTTAGGATATTTACAAGCAAGAAGAATACGTTCCATAGAATATCATGCAAGACTAAGTGTTACAATCTTATGTTGTATTTGAAGTAACCTTTCATAAATGATACTGTCGTCTATTCTATGTATCACTTAGAGAATCTAGCAGAAAATATCATCTCAGCAATTTGAAAATAGTTATAAACATCTATCATGTCATACGTGATTGAAAGTCAAAGAAAGGATTAAACAAAAATATGTTCATTGGACAACTTTTTAATATCAATTTTAATTGAAAATTAAACAAAACTCGCAAAACATCACTCGAATTTTTCAACGTATTATTTTGTACAACTATATTTATATTATCAGGTGGTGAAATTATAGTATAATGATAAAAAATTTAATGGTGGCTGATGATTATAATGTTAAGATTCAATTCTTATATTGTTCTATAATAATGATTATTAGAATGAAGATAAAACAGAAAGGACATGACTCATGGCATAGCATGACGTCAAAAATCATTTTATGACATAACTCAACTCGTTCGATCCAATGTCGTGCTATATTTTGTTTAGCAAAATGTTGTTTTTTTACTTTTAAACTGTTTATGATAATGCTTCTATTTGAAAACTTGATTTAATATAGAATAAAAATATTTGAAAGTATTAAAAATATTAACATCTATCAGAGTAAGAAGAATTTAGTAAAATAATTCCGACTCTGCATTGTTATATTTTCTAGTCGAAAAGTTTTTTCACGAAATAAATACAACAAATCAGTGACATTCTCAGGGTAGTCCGTACGGTCTTTGTACGGTGCACATTACGTACATGCAATCTAATTCATTTGAACTGACATGTCTTTTCGAATTATTTAAGTTAATGTTTCGTTGTTTCTCATGATTATCTTCAATATGTTTAGTGTATTATTATCAATGTTTTTGTAATTGTTAAAGGTGTTTTCATTTTAGAAAAATACGTCTTTCTCAATAAGTATCGTGTCCTAATAGAAAGAAAAGATTTTGAATTTGTTTTGTTCTCTCTGGCCATTTTTATAATTTCGTTTTTTCTAGCATCAATAAGTCTGACTTCTTGCCTGTGAATAAAACTATACGTAAAATGTATCAAACTCTTTATTTCTTTGTAATATAGACGCAAGAGTTGTTTGTAAATATTCTTCTTTAATATTTTTCTTTTTGTAATTTTTTCTATTTTGAGATTTTTGTTACTAAGAAATGAATAGTATTCTTTATCTCAATGCTTTTCTTTTGCCTTAGCTAATTTCTATCAATCATTGTATTCTGTGGTCTTTATTACCTATAACTTTTGTGAATTGTATAATCATAGAATTATGCTAATAAATATAAATAGTATAATTGATGAGGAACAGACATTTCTAAAAAGTAAATCAAAATAAATATCCTGATGTACTTCTATTTCAAATACTACTAGATTTTTATAATTACTTGACGTGAATTAATAGCTTTAAAAAATGTGTTTGAAAGCTTGTCATCAGAGTACGCTGTACAGAATTCTAATTCTGACTGCAAACTGGAAATCAATACAGAGAAGCAGTTTCCACTTTTGGCTAATCAACTTAAAAATTTATTTTGCAGAACGTAAATATTTTTCCGCAAAAGTTAGTCTTTATTTTTTACAAAGCCAGCCGTTTTTCCAGTATTGTTAATTGACCATGGATTATTTATCAACAAGAAGATCATCTATTTATTTTCTTTTTATTTGAATTTAGTCACAAGAACATGCCATGAGTTATTACTAGACATATCATAGTTGATCGTTTTCTTATTTTGTACTATCCTTAGGTATGTCACAGTGGACATTAGAATTCAGTTAAGTTTCAAGTAAATTATTGCTTTGAAGTAAACAAAAATACGGGGTGGGTGTGGGTGTGGGTGTGGGTGTGGGGTGTGGGTGTAGGTGTGTGGGTGGGTGGATATGGGTGTAAAGTCGGGCAACACCCACACCCACACCTACACCTACATCCACCCACTCACACCCACTCCCACACCTACACCTACACCTACATCCACCTACTCACACCCACACCCACACACCCTCATTGTAATAATTAAAATCTTGGGTGTAGGTGTGAGTTCAAGTGAAAGGAGAATGCTCACACCTACATCCATAATTTGCAAGTTTTGCCAAAAGATATAATTCCGATAAGATTGAATCAGATTCATCAACTAAATAAGACATTATTTGCATCAGTTTTTGAAAAAAATATAATAATATTTGAAATATCACTATTGTCTCTTACAAGGTTTTTTTTACTGGTTAATAGAATAGTCAAACTGCGAATTTCTATTTTTCTACGGATAAAAGATGATTTATGTGAGCGTGGGTTCACTAAGAGTGTGCTATGGGCGTGGATGTAGGGTAAACGAAGACACATATTCACACCCAACAAATCGAATGATGATATTTTGACCTGAAATTTCGCCCACATATAAATCTCAAAACTCACTCATATTTCACGAAAGATGCCAGAATTTTATGTTTTCGTTTGAGCTAAAATTTTCAGGATACTCTTGTCACAAGTAGATCTATGTGTGTGCTAAATCTTAAGTGGAAATACCATGATTCGATTGATTGATACATACAATGTCATAGGCTAAAAGACTTTTGAATGTTTATACTTTCGCAGATTTTTCATATTTGGCTAGGGTCTACGTTATGTACAGTCTTCGNTTGAAAACACTTCAATTTAATGATAATCGTTCTGAATTATTTCAACAATTAAATCAATGGCAAAAAACCATGATTGAGAATGTTGAAATAATGAAAAAAGAAATTTATTTAACTCATGAAGAATATAATCAAGAATTCAATAGAAGAAAGAAAAATCTTTTAAATAATGATAACGATGATGAAAAGAATTTAAAAGAGGTTAGATCAATAAATAATTAACTTGATTAGCATATACATTTTTTTTCATTATAGATTTTCAATAATTTAAAACAATCTTTAAACACACTTGAATCTTCTCATGTAGAATTAATTATCTCAAAACAAAATTCAACTATTCAACTTATTAAACCTAATTTTAATTCATTATTTTCCAATTCACAAACTACAATACGACCTGATTTAGATCAATTTTTATTACTATCAAAAATAGTTTTTACTCTCGATTATGATCCTATTGATATGACACATTTGACTACTTCTCCAGAATATTTAATTATTTATAAATCATCTCGTTCAATATTTCAATTATTAAATAATATTGGTCAACATCTATGGGATATTAATTATAATTATATAAATTATGGTGATCTCAATCAATTGGCACGGTCAGCTTATGCCAACGGATTTCTTCTTGCTACATCGAACCAATTACTGAAACTTAATTGTACAATAAAACGTATAACACGTTAGATAGATATTCGTTTTGGATTTTTTAAAGACATATGTGCTGGTGACCAATCAATTCTTGTTGTTCATAATCTTGGTACATCATTAGGTGATGTTATTGAACATAATTCAAATAATCAAATGAGTCAACGTTGTTGGAAATCTGATTTATATGCAAATGAAATTCATATGAAAGAAACAATGGAAATATTTCGTATTCGAATAAGTGATCATTTAGTTGCTATTGATGCTTTATTTACAGATAAAATTCTTATTTGTGATATTTCATGTATAATAAAATGTCTCTTTCGAGTACACACAAAACAATATAGTATTTTATCGATATCACCAGTCTATGGTAAGATTTCATGATTTAAAATGAATTTTATTTATAGAAATAAGTTTTGTCTTTCATTCGTTAAATACGATACTCAACAATGGCTTATATTTGTAACAGATGAACAAAATGAATATCTTCAACAACGAATCTTTGTTTTTTTTGGATCGAATCATTTTATACTCACACGTACTGAAAATAAGGAAGATGAAGAAAAATTTTTATTTGAATGTCGAAAGATGCATAACATTTTTTAGGTTGCTATTTTTATATATTATATGTATTAAAATAAACATAATCCATATGTTACAAATANCTGATGACGTCGCAATCGAATATAACATTGTTGTCAAATGTCATAATTGTAAATGCATAAATTATATGACGTGTTGTCATGTGGTTTATTATCATCTGTAGATAAATTTTCATCAAAAACAAATTCCTTTATTAGCGATTCACTTACGAATTCAAATATCAAAACAGAGAAAATGTTCTGTTACTTGACCTAGTCTAGTATCCTCCACTTCGCTGGCCCTGAAAATTTGAGAGCAGGTCACCAATGTGGAAAGCGAGATTGTTTTACTAAAGGAATTTGTTTTTGATGAAAATTTATCTACAGATGATAATAAACCACATGACAACACGTCATATAATTTATGCATTTACAATTATGACATTTGACAACAATGTTATATTCGATTGCGACGTCATCAGCAACAAGAAAAAGTATATTTAGCAAAATTGATCAGATATTAGAAGCAGAAAGACACCAAGTGAATTCTGAATCACTTGCCTTTCTTTGTGGAATTTAAGAAGATCACTTTTTTCTTGTTGCTGTTTATCGAAGAAAATAAATAATATTCTTTTTCATATAAAATAAAAACTTAAGAACTATACTGTGACTGTAAAAGTAACTGTTTGAATGTCAATTACTTCCGGTTTAAGTTTCCTTGCGAAAAATTGCACCCGTTCTGAACAGTAGCCTAGCTTAACAACTTTTGATATTTGTAAAAGAGTATTGACTAAAGTATTCCTAAGATACATTTATCAAAGAAACTTTGATTAGCATGAAAAAATTAGATTGATCACAAACTATATACAAAAAACAAAAAAATAACAAATAACAAAAAGACAAAATGCTTAACGTTTCAAATGTTTTTTGATCTGTATTAAGCATTCGTTAATTTGTGTCACCAAGGGATGTGTTCGTGGAAAATTATGATGATAGATTTCAGCAGCTCGTGAATAATTTAGATCAGCTTTAGCGTATTTTAATATTTTTTCATTAACCTTACCAAGATTGTGATAACTTACACCAATATCAGGATGATAAGGATTAATTTCACGCAAAGATTTTAATCGTAATTTTAACGCTTGTTCAAAATGATCATACGCAGCATCGACATTATTACATAAGGCTAAATAAATACAACCAAGAAGATCATGAGTTGAAGCTTGTTCTACATTATTTTGTCGAATACCAAGTGCCTTCAACGCCAAACCACTGGCTTTCTCATAGTCTCTTCGAGCATAATGAATACTGGCTATCTATAAGAAAAATAAATGAGAAAATTAAAAAAGAAAAATAGATCGAAACGGATTAGTTACATTATGTAGACAAGTACCCACACCACGAACATTATTTGTCTGTTCATAAATATCAAGTGCCTTTGTATAATATCTTAATGCTTCATCTTGATTACTCATTTCATTGTAACATATACCAATATTATTCAAATAAGTTGCTCGAATTCGATTATTATTATCCGATAAACGCTCGAGTGCATCCGAGAAATATTTAAATGCAGACTCGCATTTTCCCATATCAAAAAGTAGTTTTCCGAAGAGAACTGATAGATCATCAGAATTCACATTGTCCACATACGTTTGTTCAATATATTTAATAACAGTCAATTGATCATCTTGGCTTAATGAAAAATGAATTATATATATTTGTTTTTTGTCATCAAATTTGACCGATTTAACACGAAATATAGATCCAATAGATAGAAGAACTTCTTGTTCATTCGGAAATTTACTAAAACTACTGATATCAGCGAATGCTACACTATGTTCACTTGTCATATCAATATCGATTTTCATTAGAACAGGTTCCAAATCTTTCTGCATATGATTCTGAATAAAGGACATTGCAATATCTATGTCCCTTGTTGTTGATACGAATCCATTGAGAGATATTAAACTGTTGATATTTGTTGCAAGAAGACGAATATATTCCGATTTCAACGGTTGACCACGATAGAGACGAAGTAAAGATTTTCTCTTTGATTTTTTATTGTACTCTTTAATAAATAGTTCATGTTGTTGTTTCAATTGACGACAAAGTAACTTAATTATGTAACGACAAGAATAAACTTGTGAGACATTTTCTTTTCTTAAGACTGTATTCGTACATTGATATATAAATGAATTATCTGTATAAAAAAAAATAGCTTTTTCTTGATCTTCGATCAATGGTTGACTTTTAAATTCATCTATTTTATTCAACATCTTACGTTGTCCTTCAAACTGTTTAAGGCTATGTTCAATCATTTCTATTTTAGCTTTTTTATCGTCATCATTTTCCAATGTAACCATAAACTTATGCATTTGATTAAACCAAAGAAAACTTGCTTGATCTTCTTTTAAATTTCGAATTGGATATTGATCTTTTGATGTATCTTTCGATGATATGGAATCTATGTAATATAAGAAAAAAAAAAGATAATTATTAATAATTTCTAAAGTGCTGAACCTAATTATTAAGTATATCTTATATCCATAAACTAATTTACCTGAATTTGTAGAAGATTGATCAGGCATTATACTAAAATCAGTTGTAGCATTATTTCTTACTATAAGCATTTCAATATAGTTTATTAATTCCTCAGCATCTGTACAAATTGCTCGAAGTTTATCACATTTCAAATGTTCATAATTTTCAATATTTTTACAAAAAATAAAAATTGCAAAAATACAGCTGTATCTTTCTATAGCAGGTATTACTTCTTCACTAAGAGCACCAGATACAATAAAAATAATGTAAGACATTGTTTGTTTACCATCTGGTTGTCGTAGATAAGAAATAAATTCTTCTGTACTTGCAAACGAATCTATTGTTCGATCAATGTCACTCAATTTTTTCAATATTCGTCTATTATAAAATGTGTTCATGTTTTTATCAAGCCACACTATATGATAAAGACCTGCTTGATCATCTTCAATATCTATAGACGACTTTTGTGATGTATTTGATGCCATCGATGCTATCTACATTATACTGCCTTCTTTTTTTATGAAAAAAACAGGCATTTTTTTCTGCTTCTTTACAAGTACACTTAACTATTCTATGGGAAAAAAACTAAGCTTTTTTATTATCGACATCAACAAAGAATCAACAAAAAAAAATTCTCTTTTTTTTTATCTCTACTGTTGAAAACAGAACGAGCATTAAAAGAGAAGTGAATGGTATTTTTTCTTTCTTTTTATCTTAAAAAAAATATTTTTTCATCATGCTCTCAAATACAAAACAGTCTCATGTGCAAAATAGACTTTTTTTACGTCCTTTGTTTTATTTCTTTTTATTTTTCTTCGAAAAACAAGCACATACACAACTTTATTCTTGATTTTCTTTAACAAGCATAATAAACATTAGGTCATAAAGCTACGCATTGTGAGTACTCATTGTTACGTGCATAGCAACGAGGTCTTCGGCACAACGTATCAAGCGAATACAATCTTCTTCTAAAAAAGAAGATACAAAAGAAATCCTTTGTATTCGAGTAATTTTGTTTGATTTTGATAAATCATATCTTTGCCTTATCTGTTCAGTTCAACATAATCTGTTTCACAGACCCACCCTAGTGAAAGCACTGATTAAGCGAGTACAACTCATATGAGTTTTTCTCTACAGGCTTGTTTTTCACAAAACAGTTATGGACTTGCGTAAAAAAGATATAGATTGAAGTTTTGTAATATAAGTAAAATGATATAAGATAACGGGCAATAGAAAGTTTAAAAATGACTTTAAATCTTCAATTATATTTAAACGTGATAAAACATAGTAATATGACGATTATGTTGAAGTTTTTCCTTCATATGTACAAGCTATGTAGGTCAATGCCTATTACATAATGATTTTATATATCAACAACACAATGCGATACTGCATACACATCAGGAATCATTGACATGATGTGAAGACAATGTCATGCATTTTCTAAGTAATTGCATATGACCATCAAATAGTTCCAACCTCAATGTTCTAGATTATTATATGTGAGACATTTTCGTCAAGAATATACAATGGAATAAAGCTAAGAACTAAGGGAGCATTTCAAAATTTCTGCCGTGCTGACGCTTTGCCATTCTCATGTCGTTCTCCTGTTCTGTCGTTCCGCCGCTCTGCCGTTCTCATGCCGGTGCATTATCGTTTCGCCGAAAATTTTTATACAGCTGTTTTCCCAGTGTTCCTGTTTCGTCGAAAAATAGAATTGAAAGAAAACATGAAGAACATAAGTAGCTTATTCTAATTACTTTCATTCTCTTGAATAGGTTAAGTTTCATCAAAGAAACAAATTAAACTATACAGTTACTTCATTCAGCCAACGATCCAGTACCATCACGAAAAAATTATTTGTAAATTGAAATCTTTAATTAAAATATTTAGTTAGTGGTTATAAATAACAAAAGCTTAATTGCAGAAAAATAGGGATTAGGGTGAGGGTCTGTGATTGCTTCTGTATATATGAGGACGTGAGTGACCGTTTTCTCGTTGCCTGCTCATACACTCAACACTACTAATATCTCAACATTTTCACAGTTCGGTGTTTGTAAATTTCAGTATCTTTGCCTTTCGACATTAGTGAAGTGAATCCATTAGCTCTGTATAATTGGTAATTATAATGTTCTCAACAAATATTTTCCACAGATCCACTAACAATCCTTTTTATGAATTAGTCTGTTAAAGAAAATGAAATGATCGTGAATAAGCTAATTATATTCTACATAGTTTTATTCAATTTTTAATTTTCGACGAAACAAGAACTAACCATTAGTATACATGAAAACTATATAGAAGTACTCATAAGTGTTATAGAATAAGCTTTTAAGTTCTAAAATTTTATTTAAATGAACCAATTGAATATAAAATTTATTTGTTTTTTCTTTGTTTCAAATCGGTGTATTAAAACAAAGTCTAAAACAATCTTTGCTGTCTATATTTTTCTATTTTATTTATCCATCAACATAGCCATATGTCTTTATCTAAAACAGAATAGATACCAGAAAAAAAGTCCAGATATTAATCAATAACAGTCTTATAGTTAATTTATTTCTATCGTTTTTTTCTTTCTTGCCACTGTCTTAATCTAACTGTTTGACACATACTTATCATCTGCTTGTACTGCAGGAGATATAACTAAAATGATCCGACGACCTTTTCTTCACCCCTAACGATATACAGAAGTTAATATAGTGTTATTGACTTGTTGAATTGAGTATGTCTACAGACTAATTATTTTTGACTTTTTCTTCGATGAATACTTCATTGGTATCTACTTTTAATAAGTAGTCTAACTGAACGATGACGACTTTTCTTTGACTTATAATAATAAACGAGAATCATTAATATTGTTTGCAATACATCGTAATTATTTCAAGATGTTATCACTAGAGATGTAGCTCATTTGTCATATACATATATATGTTTTTCTCTTTAGAGGTTACATATCTTCTGTTACTGGCTGTTTTATAGTCATCTATCTTTTTCTCTGTTACTATATAATTATATACAACTCTATATAGTACAATAAAAGCGAATCTTTACTTGGTATTTCTAAAGAAAATTAGATATACGTGCATGCTAGTAATAAATATTATAATAATGTCAATAACTTTTTAATTATTATTCGTCGTATTCGTCCTTTTTTTCTTCGTATGGAATGATTATTGTCAATAATTCACTTTTGTCAAAAAATACAACAATACAATCTGTTCATTCGTATCTAAATTCAACAAACGAAATTCATGATACATCATCGTCTAGTACGATAATTACGATTATTATTCTATCATTTTTAAGTGTATCTGGTTGGATATTTATGTCATATGCACTTTTTGGTCGATCTGAAGCTTATCGTACAAAGCCTGATGATCAATATGGTGTATCACATCATACAGACAATCCAGATAGATCATATCCTAATGTTTTTACAGTTGGTCTTGATTAGATATTAAACTTATATTATTGACTGATTCAAAACTTTATTTTTTCTTTGTTTAAAATAATAATTAAAAAAAAAAAAACAAGTCGTTAAGGGGGGCCCCCCCCCTTAGAAAATCCATTTTTTGGTAAAGTAATCGAAGTCGAGTTTTTATCATAGAAAGATGCAGCGAAGTTTCCTCTTTCAGAATATATATAAATTTTTAAAAAAAGGTCAAATTTTTACAGACTTTCGTAGGAGACTTCCAGCTCAGTACACGGTTTTTGGAGAGATTTTCGTGGTTTTTGTTATTTTTGGGAAGACTACTTTTGTACTTCTATCAGCATGGAATAAGCATTCTTNCACCAACACCACACCCCCTACAAACCCCGCGCACACCGGCGGGCGGTCGCTGGGGAGGTTGTGTGGGGGGGGGGGGGGGGGGGGGGCCCCCTTAAGACGGAAAAATCAGATAGAAATTAATCATATCTGTCTTACATAATATTCTATTCGACATTCATAATAATACTATTTCAAATATGCAAAATATTAAAAACTTTCTTTATACGCTATTAAGTCAATATAACGTTCACAACCATGTGGCCTGCAATCACAAGTACTGTTTGTTATGCACAGAAGAATTCTTGTTGACAATCTCTTTTACATTCCCTAGGAATACTTCCTGTGCAAATAAAATAAGCTTTACAAAGGGTACGTGCGCTTTTTGACGACGAATATCTCCAGTATGATATTTTCAATCATGCAGAATACTTTTCGGTATTATTCAAGTTACAATTGAAAATAATCCTGATGATAAACATTGAGAATAATATTTCGATGATTTAAAACAAATTAAATTAATTTGATGTACATATGAACTTTACTAACTAAGATTACCTAGTTAATCAAACTCATCAATAAGACTATCAAGTAATATGATAAACATGATTAATATATTGTGGTTGTAATGAAATTTAATTTTTATATTGTTCATTAGCTTTGATTAAACCATAGAAAAACAATTCTAAAATACAGCTCTGATAAAAACTTATCTTTTACACCGCATATATACACAGGTGGATTTGATGTTCTTATTTCAGGAAAGAAGCAAATCAAAAGATTTGGAAACTTTGACAATAATGTATTTTGGTTTAGATCTATCTCTGTGCTACATTTCAAGTCTAAATTTGAAAAGGAATTATCCTAGTATTGTTGTGTAGGACAACGGTATGAACTTTAGAAAAAAACATAAAAATGCTAAGGACTCGAACTGTTATTAGAATCTACGCGATGCCTATAGTCTGGACTCAAAAACGATTAATCAGTTGGAGGAGTTCTCTCGTTAATTGTAAGAAATTTTGATTAACTCTACGACATTTTAACATCATAAATATGACTAATGACTAGATAAACACCGGGTTCAAGAAAACTTCCTGCAGAATGTTGTATTTGCATATAAAACATATTGACCTTGACCAAAAATTATTGATAATCGAATGATTTCATCATTTTAAAACTATTTTATTGATAATAGACAACAACAAAAGAACGTCTTCATTATACCCTTTTCCCTTGTTTCATTATATTATAATTAATTATTTTCAAATTTATCCATCGAAAAAAAGAATTCGATAAATAAAATGTTATTATGGAAAAATTATACTAAAAGTCCAATAATAAGAGATTCCCGTATGTTTTTGTTTAAATTATAACAATAAAAAAAGAAGCAATAAAATTAATCAATTTTAACTTGAAATGTTGTTCGTTCAGTTGTTGTTTTCTTTTTCTTTGTGAAACCACTAACAAGAGCGATAAGAACAGCAGCAAGACATATCATCGGTACTACTACTAAATACATCTGTAAAAAGAAAAAAAAAGAAACCATAATGTTAAAAGAATATTAGAAAAAATAATTACCGGAATTATTTTAGCTGCTTTTTCAGAAAATAATGAACTAAAAAAAAATTGGTTTATTAGAAAACAACAAAAACTATACTATAATATAAGCTTACAAAGCACTTGGTTCAACCGGAACTTGTTCAGCTTTAACTTTTTGATAGCCATTTTCAATAAATTCTACAAATGCTGTTTGTTTCCATGATGCACTTTCATAACGATACATTTTTCCTTGTTTTAATCTGATATTAAAGAAGTTTTAATCTCATTCATTTTTATTTTAAATTCGTTTCGAACTCACAATATAAAAGTAGGTAAATTAAATAGATGAAAACGTTGTTGTAGAATAGGACTTGTATCTACATTAACATAAGCAAATATTGCTCGATTTCGAAAGCTATACAAACAAAAATAAAAAATTCTATGGAAATAATTTTAATTTATTTCATTGAATATTTACTGAAGAGATGCAGCTTCCCACACAGGAAGTAAACTATGTGATTCATTAGTTTTTTTACTGAAATCAAACAAATAATTATATTTATACAAAAACGAAATAGTTTGTACATACAAAAGAATAAACCAATCGCCTGTAGTTGAGCCAGTTGTTGCTTGTGTATCATGTTCAAATGTTTTATCATCTAAAACACGTGTCAATTGTTCTCGTACTTCACCAAACCATTCTTGAATAGTATCCATATTCGAAAGTAAACCTGAAATAAATATAAAAATTCTTCTAATAAGTAAAAGAAATGCCTGTCAAGTCAAACTTGTGAGCGTGACACTTAAGTTAGGGAAATCAAATGTTGATACATTGCCTTATTGTTCAAGAATACTTTGACAAATTCGTTCGATTCAAGCAACAAATGCTTGAACCGAATTTCAATTTAGTGTTGTAGAACTTATATTCACTGACATAAGAGCGTGTTTACATTTAATCCTTTACTCTTTTTTGATCAGTCGAGTAACTATTTATAGAACGATATTGCTCAATCTTCGAAAAAAGATCAGTTACAGAATCGATATGATAGAAATGTAGTGTGTGATTTATAATGACGATAGTGCCTGCCATTAGTATCGATACCATTTGAACAATCGGAAAAGTTAGATAGAGAGAAGATAGAAAAAATACAGAATGATAGCCACGAATTTTTCTAGGAAACCAAATATTTAGTTTTTTTAGTGTCAAAAACTCATTACGATATTTCTTGAACGAACTGTATCAGATTTATGGAAGATCTCAGAAATAATTTTGGAATAAGAAGACACATGTTTGAGAAAAAATTGTTTCACGAGAGTTCTCTATAGGACTGCATCCTGGTACATTACGATCCCCATCAGGCGAAGTAATTTGTAACAAATTTCTTTCACATTGGTGTTAGGGGGGATTTCGTTTCTATCATTTTTCAAAAAAAAAATATTCTTTTTTTGTTTAACTACCTGAATAAATAACTGGAAAACCATTTCTAAAAAAACAAAGCTTGGGCAATGATCCATAAATATTAAAATTTTTTTCAGCAATTGTTGTGTTAGTTGAAAGAGCAAATTGAATATTTTCACTGGTACATAAATCATGAATTTGTTCTAATTGACTACGTTGTTGAAGACATTTTTCATCATTTTCAGTATTGCACTGTTGTTTATCGACTAGAGAAAAAATACGTTGAATTCTTTTGTTGCTTCAGAAAATTATGTTTTTTTTTTTCATTTACCAAAAACAAGAACATTCAATGAAGATGATTGAATAAAATCATTTAATTGTTGTTCATTATTAATTCGTTTAAAATCTTCATAATTAGAACAATATGATAAAGAAAAAAGAATGAATAATACTAATATTTTCATCTAGAATACAAATCAAGTAATAGCAAAAAAAACAAAAGAAGAAAAGAAAGTTGAATGTCAAAGTTGTGGATCAAAACGTTGAATTGTGCGAAGTATCAAATTAATTTTTTCAATAAAACTTTCAACAGCTACACGAATAAATTTTGCTTCTGCAGCTTCAAATCGAACATTGAGAATATTATTATCCAATGTTTCTATACGTTGAACTGTTTTCTTTGGTTCTTTATCAATGCGTACTGCATTGTAGACGATTTGAGCATGACGTGCTGTTGCCATTGGAAAACGTAATTCACATACAAAATTCATCTAAAAAACAAAAAGCAGCGTTTCAACTTTATAAATATATATAGTGATTGGTAACAGTGTCTGCAATGATTCATACGGAAAAAAAGAAGTTCGTCGAGTTGATTCAGATCTAAAAATTTTGGATCCGACAGACTCTAATGGATACTCTCACAATAAGCTCTAACGGATTAAAATGGTAGATTGACATCCGACTGATTCTATCTTTTGAGAGAAATGTGAATTTAATTACTTCATCATAGAATTTAACCTTTATAAACCGAGGAAATCAAATCGTAACTGTTTTTTCAAAATTTAAATTAATATAAATAAAACAAAAATCCACTAATCCATCTTGTTTATTTGTATATAAGATAATACTATTTCAAAAAACAAATCAACAATGACAACAATTATCTGACAAAAGACAACAAAAAAAGAATTAAATATACAAAGAAATATCTGAGAAACAAAAAAAAACAGTAAAATTGCGGTCACTTATTTATTGATATAATTGCTCTATTTGTTTTTCATATTCATTGTTCGGATTTCTTTTAAGTATATTTTTTGTTAGAAAATAATTTATTTTATTTGATGACCATTTATTTATAGAAAATCGTTCACCACCTATTGTACGTCGTTTACTTGATGATGTTTTTTTTGTTAAATAAAATCGATCAGCATAACGAATAAATTCATCATAAAAAACCATTTTCCAATTGATAGATTGTTTCGGTGAAATATTCGTTTCATCTGAACTTGATGTTAAATCCATATCACTCGTTATACGTTCTAATATTAAACTAAAATCAGCAGATAACGATTTACGTTTATTAGCTAAAGGGTTTTTCCATGATTGATAAAATTCTTCAAATTTTTCAAGATTTGGTAATCGTTTCGATGATAACTGATGACCAATTTCAATAGATTCACTAAGTATTCGATCAAAATTTGGTAGATGTTTTTCAAGATGACGTGCTATTTGTTCTTCTGTTTTATGTACAGTGGCATTCGATACCTAAACGAAAAAAAAGGCATGCCTTTCAAAATCAGATTTTATTGTACAAAATCTGTTTCCACCGATATCTAGCACTCGCCGTGTACATGAACACGTGAAGGATTACGGCTTTAGCTATTTATTCGCTACTCTAAGAAAAAAATTCAATAGACAGTCTATATCTTGTTGTTATATTTCTCATCTAGGAAGATGCGAGTCCACAGAAATGTGTAACCGGCCCTGACAAAACTTTGAATCTAGGTCTGGAAAGACTCGCAGCTCCCTAGTCTAATTCCGAGAGTTTTTCAATAATCCTAAACTGATTTGTCCTATTTCGAGAAAAACCCGAATCCAGTCGTAAGTATTTTTGAGTAGTGCTGAATCCTATCCAGAGAAATTTTGAATAGTCCCAAATTACGTTGACCGAAAGAAATATAAAGATGTCGCTATACTAGAGTCCCACAGGACAAATGTTTTTCGAGTTCTGAGTTCCACTTTATTTTCAAAATATTCCGTATGGCTCTAATTTTAGAATATTGATCGATAAAGACCTTGAATTCTGATTGGATATCGAAAATATATGAAATTCTGTATATATATATATTTATATAATTACTTTTTTATCATGATTATTCACAATTATACATTCGTTATTGTTATTATTGGCATCAGGTGGTGGTAATGGACAGCTGAGATTCAATATTGCGAAGCGATTGTGAATAAAAAATGTAATCCAAGCAGCAAAGAATAAATTTAATAATGCATCAAGACGGTCATTATCATTGAATTCATCTAAATATTTTGAATAACTTCCAATAACAAGTAATAAACCTTCAAGCCATCGAAAACCTTGTAATGGTTTAAGATTACTATATAAACATTTATGATGTAATGAATTTAGTTCATTTTCAATAACTTCAACAATAGCATGTGAATAAAATCGATGATCATCAATCCAAATATTGTATAATTCTGGATCACGTTCAAGGATAGCATCTGAACATCGATGAAATGCTTTTAATGCATCAATAGAACATTTTATGTTAAGATCAAATACATTATAACATTTATTTTCCATATCAATTTCAAGAGCAAATGGATCATCATTGGTAACACCATTGACGGCAACAGCAGGTATGTCAGACGACATATTGATCTATCTGAGGCTGAATGAAAGACAAAAGACAAAAAAAAAGTGAATGAATGAATGACCTAGTCATTCACAGTGAGTCATTCACAGAAAAAAAGAAACTTGAATGCATCAATCCAATGAATGAATAAATATAGCAATATGCGCTCCATCTATAGACAAAAAAATTTCATTTTTTTTTGTTCGAGAAAAAATTCATGTTAGTGCTTTCTTATGATTTCAACAGACTTTTTAATCAAAAAATTAAGTTTTATATTAAGATATAAATTAATTAATTAGTGCGGAAAACACAAAATTAGCTCATGTAGTAAATTACATACACTATTCGTTAACAATAAATATTGTACCTTTCTCTTAGTTCCAATTGCAAAACGATGAATAATTTCTCTCACAAAAAATAAAATATTTTTCGTAGAAGAGATATTGCATCACAAGTTAAAATCTATGTGTAATCATAGCAATACGAGTAGAATTTTTATTAAAAACTTATTTGTACAAACCAAACATAAATCTATGTAATAAAAATATTCAACATATTAATATATGTTGAATTAACTTGTAAACCATAAGAAATCCATTAAATTTCCGGCTAACGAAATAGGAAGTCATGATACTTCAATTTCCGTAGGTAGACAATGAATCGGAAATGACTAGATTTAATTTGTTCTCATTAGTTTTCTTCGTGTATCTTGCAAGTGCATTTTTTCACAACAGATTTGTCTTGTTTTATTATTTATATATATATATTTTCCATAAATGATACAAGAGTCTCGTAATGATTATCAATTATAAATGAGTAAAACTAGAATACTTAGAAAAAAAAGCAGCTAACTATTGATATCAATGTGAAAAGAGTAAATAATATTACAAAAATAAGAATAGGTTTACATGTTTTAAACAAAGTCTTGTAAGAAGAGATTATTACAGTATTTATAATTAAATTTAATTCTAATAAATTTCTATTTCATTTGAATTTTTAATAAGATCAGTAATATTTTTAAAAGTTAATTCAATAAAATCGATTTTTTTAGTACTTGGATTTAAGATTGGTTTTATATCAAGTATCATTGTAAATATTTCATTAGGTGAATAAATAANAAGATACAAGAGGATAGTAATGATTATCAATTATAAATGAGTAAAACTAGAATACTTAGAAAAAAAAGCAGCTAACTATTGATATCAATGTGAAAAGAGTAAATAATATTACAAAAATAAGAAAGGGTCATTCAAAAAAGAAAATCTCGGTAAAAATCGTACTGTTTGATTCCCTCCGTAACCCTGCTTGACATTCAGGGTATAAAACGACTAAACAAAAAATGAAGTTCAATGTCAATAGCACTCGAAACTCTCATATAATCGTTCTACAGAATAGCTATCTGCTGATGTAACATAATCTTGAGTTATTTCAACACAGAATATAAAAATTGAGATAAATTCATGGAAAGATAGCCCAAGATCTGATCTTTCATAAATGATTGTTTGTTTTTATTTGGCATCTCATTTTTTCCAAAAAAAAAACTTCATCTTTTTTTGCTTGAAAAAAATTGTTGTTTCAAATAAAGCAGAAAATCCTTTCCCTCTTTATGCTTTTGTGATTGCATATTCCAGAATTCTTGAAGAAGCTTCATCGTAACCAATACTTTGTTTTCTTGTTTGAAAGATCATGTTGAGATGTAAGACATGACAGAACTCATTTTTTGAGTCTTTTGAGACTTTTCATTCCTGTTCTTCTCTTAAAAAGTAAGAACTTAAAAAATGCTCTGGCAAATAAAAAAATGAAGTCGATCATATAAAGGCCCACAGAGAATTTGGGATTGCGAAATGAGCTATTTTTTATTCTTGTTAGTAGAATATCTTCCGAAAATATCATGTTATAGGACTGAAAATTTTATCATAGTCTCTCCGCTATATCCCCAACACAGCCTGAAATTTTCATGTAATTTCTTTCGGGAGCGGGGGATGCCTTAAAAATACTGTGCAAAACAAATTAAGCTTGAAAATTTTGTCGAAGGTTGTGCGAACGAAAAGAAAATATTCATAGTAAGTGTCTGGACTTCCTTTATGGATGACTTCGAATAGGTTTACATGTTTTAAACAAAGTCTTGTAAGAAGAGATTATTACAGTATTTATAATTAAATTTAATTCTAATAAATTTCTATTTCATTTGAATTTTTAATAAGATCAGTAATATTTTTAAAAGTTAATTCAATAAAATCGATTTTTTTAGTACTTGGATTTAAGATTGGTTTTATATCAAGTATCATTGTAAATATTTCATTAGGTGAATAAATAAAAGTACAAGTTATTAATTCATTACTTGATGTTAATATTGAATTTAATAAAGTTTGATGAACATAAGATTGTTCATCAATAGATATAAAATCTAATATAGATTTATTACGAAACAAATCAAATGATATGGATGGAAATGTTGATATTGAACAATCTACAAGAAAAATTTTCCAATCATTTGGCGTACATCGACATGAAAATATTAATGATTGAGGATTTTTATAACGACACATATTTTTCTTATTATATTCACTTGTTAATGGTAAATAACATATACCGATAAAAGCTAAAAAACCACATTCGTCTTTTGATACAGGTTTTAATAATTTATTAACCTTTTTTATTATGCCATCAATAATAACTGACACATATGAATTATTATTTTGTATTAATCGACAATTAATAGAAATTTTCTTATGAATTTGTTTCGTTAATGATATTAATTGACTTTGAACTTGAAATAAATCATCTGGATGTATAAATGAAAAAAAATTTTGTTCAAGCCATTGTTCAGGTTTAAAATAAAGTATTCGATGAATTGAATTTGTAACATGTTTTATATGAAATAATGTTGAATCAATAGTTGTAACAAATAGAAAAGCATTACTTGCTTCAAGATGTAAAAATTTAATTTCGCTTTCTGTTAAATATGAAGGAAGTAATGAATTATATTGATCACGTAAATTAATTGCATTTAATAAATCTGTAGATATTTGTAATAAAACTAATTGAGTATATTTTGATGATTTTGAAGGAGACCAATGTGTAACTAAAGATGATAATTCACAAAAATGTTTTCTTTCAGTTTGACGTCGGTTTTTTTCAATATTTCGGTGTATTTCCATTTTATTTGCACGAACATTATCATCTTGTTCTACCTCATCATTATAATTATCAAGATTTTCTTCGTGTTCTGATATTGGTGTTTCCGTATCAGTTGCCATGAATTGATGAGTATATGTTGAATTTGATGGATTAGAATAATTACTATTTTTTCATAGAACAAGATGCATTTGAATAAATCGAATCCATATTGATTTATATTTTTTTTTTGACAATATAGATTAAGATGATAAATAGTCACCTATACAATAAAAATCGTAATAGAAAATATTCTAAGCTTGTCTATAAAATAATAAAATAAATACAAGTACATACATAAATTTATATAATAACCTGTCCCCGTTGCAACCTATTAAATGATTTTCTTTTATCGCCTAAGTCATATTTTTCTTGTACGCCTACCATTTACAAATATTAATAAGGAGACGCTTTTTTTCTTCCTCGTTACCATGGACTTCGTTACTTCACCTATTTAATCACAATGTTTTTGTTTTTATTTGGTTACAAAAAGAAAATAAACTATTTTCTTTAGTCTCCTATCTGACCAAATAATTTATTTTAATTGATAAATTAGCAAAACGAACAGAAAAAATAAAATATTCATTGAATTTACAGTTAATAAAATTGCTTGATTACAACCATCATGAGAACATAATGTTATTGTACCTTGCATTCTTACACCTTTGATTTGATTAAAATTTTTTAAACGAAAATTTCCTGTTGAATCAGATGATCGTGTTGAATCCATAATATTATCTATAATACATGTACGTAGATAAAGACTTTTATGTAATAATGAACGATTGACATTTCGATCAACATCAACAATAATACCGGATATTTTAACACAAAATCGAGCAGGAAATAAACCATTTCTACCATTTGATGATGCTAAACATTCACTTTCAAGACGATTTTCAATTGGATGAAATGGATCCGAACATGTATCATTTTCAAAATTTGTTGTCATACATTTAAAACAAGATAAACAATGAACATTATTTGGAATATATACAAAAGCAATAATTAACAGAACTAATAACATGATCGAAGATTTTATTGAATGATTAAACACTAGTTTGAAACAAATATATTTGTATGATAGTATTCACCATTATGATTGCTGCGATATCTGATCATTCTATTTCTATTTTTTCCTTCTATACACTTGATATCGTCTATAATGATTTGTGTAGACATTCTTTCTTTCTTTCTTTTTCTTTCTTTTTTCTTTTCTCGATTTCTCAACTAATTTCGCCTTTTTTTCTGCTTTTCCGTCGATCTTTTGTCTGTATGTGTGTGCCGTTGAACAAGAACTAGCTAATGTCATTCAATAGTTCTCGATGCATTTCAATATTAACTGTAGTTACTATTCTCTACCATTGATGTGACGCGATAGTATGCATATAGTATTCACGGACAAAAATATAGAAAAAGCAAAGAGCTCAACGCCTTTTGTTTCGCATATCTCATGAGAATCGCATGTTCGTACGAACGCTGTCGTTGTCAATTGCAACAAACGAGCATCAGTCCATACACATAGAGTTCTTAAATAAATAAAGAACAGAAGAACTAGTTGTTTCTCGGGTGTGACAACACTTGTATGCTTAAAGGAAAATATTTGCCATTTGCGAATCATTTCTTTTTTTTTTCTTTTTTTATAAACACACTTGTCTAAAAAGAATATTGTTACTGTTATTACTTTAACTAATATGATTCTATTCTATGGATTAATAAATAGAACTCGAACAATTAATCGTTAAATGTCGGTAAAAATCCCTTGAGATATAATGAAGAATAATTCTTTTCAAATTATGATAAACATTGCTTCCATTTAACATAGCAATTACAATGAGGCGTAAACAACAAAAGAAGAATATACGTATATATATATATGTATAAACAGTTGAGAAAATGTGATATTAAAGATTTTTCAAAATAAAGACATGAACCAAAGACATTTTAGTAATTGATGATTCTATCCAACATGAAAGATACGAACTAATTTTCTAAAAACAGCAAAATATAAAGACTGATTGGTCGATCTGAATAATCTACGCTAAGTATTAATGCAATTTTTCTCTTATTTCCTGTTTACAAAAACAATTGCACAGTAGAGATAGAAAATGTCAACTTCTAAAAAAATGTAATTATACTATCTAAAGAGAAATTTAAAATGAAGACTTTCACATAAATCTGTATTGTTATGCATTAATAAGTTTTTCCATTTTGACAATATTTTTTTCAATTCACTGAGTCGAAAAAAAAAAGTTTGCGCTTTAGTCCAGCAGGTTAACAGTTCGACTTTAATTAAAGAATTAGAAAGCTATTTCCTGCATCCTAATGGTGCTACTTCAAGATGAATTTGTTTTCTGATATTCATTAAATCATTCTTCAGCTTATGTATCTGTTTTCCTTGGATAAATAATGAAGCGTTTGGTTTTTTGCTTATGAGGGAATTTCTCGAGGTATCAAATTGCTTGTCGTCGGAGATAATGTTCACTTGATATGTAATAGAAAAGCCTAGAATGGTTTGGTTTTCTGGATCTTACACTGTATAAACAAAGTTCTCAATGAAATCAGATCATTGAACAAGCTTTAGCTTTTCTTGTATTTTCTTTGTGACGATATAAATATTGGAACAAAATTTGCTTTTACACATTAGAGAATTTTGATTTGAAATTGAAACTGTCAGATGATGAAAGAGAGACTACAGCTTTTTGTTGAGAGACTCAGTAAAACTTTGATATCTTAAGAAGAGAGATCTAGAAAACTAAACTATCCTAGACTATTCTATTACTCATCAAATGAATATTATCTTCGTTGACACGCAATTGGATACATGGAAATGTTCTCTCATTAGCCACACATGTAGATCTAAAAAGTATAGTCTTATAAAGATTGATTTTACTCTATTATTTAGTTTTTTTCTGAATAGAAATCGAGATGAAATAAATCAAAAAGAAAACAATTGATTTTGAAATTTACATGAAATCTCTCAAGTCAACAATAAAGCCTTTGAAAGAAACAATAGAACTTCTTTTTTGAAAGCATATATATATATATATGCATTATTAAAATAATGCAAATTCTTTCATGATATTCTTTATTCCGTGTTGGTTCCTGAACGTCTTGACATTGTGAGTACTTTCTATGATATTTTTCGGTCTTTTTTTTCTTATGAATTAACATAAAACGATTCTATTTGCTTGTGTTGTATTTGAATAAACGCATATATATTAAATCGGAAGTAGAAAGTCTCTTTAGGAAAAAATAATTCTTAGGTCGAAGGATAATACCAAAGAGCTTATACGTTATTTTGACATAGATTGATGTCTAGCGTCCTCTTTCGAACATTTTGTCGCAAGGCTATTACTAAATACCACTAATATGTTTTTAAGAATATTTTGTAACATTTAGTATTTTCTGCAGTATAGATTGATGATATTTTCGGCATATAAAGCTTTCCTTGTTGTTTTTCCTCTATAGATTGTCCGATTATCTTCTTCAATCTCTTGGTTATAATAATAATACGCATGACAATAAAAGGTCATATTTGGCGAAATATTGAGGTAGATCTAAACTAAATATTATTATATATTCTTTACAATAAGACTTTAATCTAGAGCACGAGATTCTCAAAACAGTAATAATGAAATTGGCCAAAAAAAATCAATGGTTTGCAACACTTTATTTCATTGAAAATCGATATAATAATTTAAAATTTGTTACTCATACCAATGATATTATCTATTGATTAATTAATAAATTTGAATGGTTAGATCTTTTGGCATAAAGAGAGTCGATTGATCACGTGATGAAGATAAAAAATTATTGTATATGGCTAAAATAATGCTAACATAATTGAGAACAATAATATTGATTTTTAAACGTACAACTATTATTAATTTTAACTGTAAGCTGTTAAATTGAAGTCTTATTCTTATTATTTAATTATCTTTCTTCAGTTATCAAGTTCAACATAGACGTGAAGGTCTTGATAAAAAATCCGATATTTCACGTACATTAAATACAAGTGATATTAATCAAGAAGAATTAGAAATATTTTTCAAATGGTGAAATAAAATCTTATATCAATATTTAGCTTGTGCTTGTCTGACAAATATTCAAGCCGAAAAACAGCAGAGCATACAGCACGTGACAAACAAGTTGAAGAAGTACATCGTTATTCTAATAAGCCATCTAGTGTAGATTATAATACTGAAATTTCATTTACGAAAATAATCAACTATTGGTTTTTACGATATAACAAATAAACTAGTAGATATTGAAAAAGACTGATTTTAAATATAAATTTAGCAGCTTGCGAAGGATATGAACAATATGTTAAAAAAAATGATAATATAAAATTAAACCATAAAAAGGAAGATTGAAGATTAATACTGTAGATATGCTATTTGATGAACAATTTAAACAGGTGAGTAAGTTTGAATCTCAAATTATTCTCCAATAATTGATATAGTAAGATGAATTTGTCTGTTAGAGATTATATTATGAGTATGGAGAACATAGACTTCGATGAATTCTATTATTATCAAATTGGATAATAAGTTCCGTCAACACCGGAATCAAGAAAAAAGGTAATCAGATTGGTAGTGTAGTTTGATAGACCCATAATCATAGAAATTTTGTATTTTACTTCGACAGAGTTAAATATCTAGCTTCTTTCAATGTCAACTGTCATATTAAAGTAGGATTATTTCTTTTGTCTAGTAATGAGTATATTTGAACCGCCGTAGTTTCCTTCCGTTACAGTAGTAAAACTAATCCAAAAACATTCTCCTGTTTCATAGAAATTATTTTTCTTTGAAAATATAGAATTTAATTAATTGTTCATATAATCAAAATATTTTAACATAATTAATGACAAATATTTAAAAAAATATTTTGCCGGGTATTGTCTAGAATAAGAGTTGTACTTCATAAGTTAATTCATGATTTTGTGGAAATATTGTCCTCGAATAATATATTTCTCTTATGTATGAAATGTCAAAGATAATTTATTGAACATTCGAATACTAAATCATGTTTATGGTTTGAATGTCATACAATGTCCCGTACTTTATTACTCACTGATTATTTCCATTGCTAATAGAATTTTATATTGATATTCATTTTCTATTTAATCGCAATCATTCGAGACGTTCATACACTTTCTTAATTTCTGTTATTAACAAATCAATTTTAACGTAAGATAGATTTAATATTTTTAGAAAGCGATCCGTCTTTTTACTAGCATGAAGTAATATAATGATTATAAAATTGTTTTAAGGTGATATACATGACCAAATACATGTCTTATTTGTTAGCAACGCAGTAAAAATCCAAACAATAGGTCATAGTAATATAAATCTTGATATTTCTTTTTTTTTGAAAGTATGGGACAATTATTATTCTCAAATAATTTTTTCACCATTAAAAAAACATTTTATTCGAGCTAATCCAGCTAGTCTGGCTTCGTAGTCATCATATTTTTCAAACATTGTTTTTTGGTATTTTTCCAAAACCTGAAGATCCGTTTGAAAAGTTCATATATCCTATAAAAAGTATCTTGCGTATTGATGTAAATGTTATCACTAGAGTCTATAACACAACGTGTAGATAATAGTAACTTCACATATACATACTACTTCGTTTTTCATTTTCGTCAGAATGATGAATAAGTTGTGATGCAATTGATATTTCTTTTAAGTTTTCGCAAATGACTGATCTATTTTTGTGAAACATGATCCTATGGAGTATTGAAGTATAGGAGTAGAAATTCGACCCCTGTTCCCCAATGAATGCACAGCAGAAGCTAAGCAACAAAAAGATTTTCACATGAGTTATTATTCAACTTAATTGCATGTCATTCTACTGAGAAAATTAGAGCTCAAACTAAAAAATGAATTTTGTCACTTGTCTGTCTATTCTGACACTCAAATCACAGACGTGATAGACACATCACAAACCATTTCAATGACACCTCCTCTTCTCTTTTATCACGGAAATTGAGAACGATTTAGCAGTGCTTCTTCTTCATCATACATTGTGACAGATATTTTACGATATGGCTATTTCGTTCTGGTTACTCATGACAGGCATATCCGAAAGACTAATCTGATGCAGAGTTAGTTTGAAATATAATTGAATTTAAGTTAGCTATTTTATGCCCTTCTATCATACTCATTGAAATATATTGTCACTAACGTCTGTCACCATCGATAGACATTAACAGCAGGTGGTTATTCATAAATCGAAACACATGTTGATGGATACTTGTTTTTTTACAATGACAAAAGCTTCATCGTACTTTAAATTTTATTCCTGCTGAGATTACGCTAACATTTATGTATATATATAAATATTTTACTTATATATTTTGATGTGTGTCAAATATTGTAGTACTTACGAGAAGACATACAGCACTACACAAAAGTCTCACGTCTATCAAATCTCAGCTATCATAGGCACTGAAGTTCTGAAAATTTGTGTGCACATAATCCACCAAGAATATATATCAAGGCTATCAGATTGTCCCAGTTGCTTAAGCAAAGTGGGAATGATGATGGATGACAATAGATAGCGATTATTTATCTTTTGAACTCTATACTTCTGACAAGAAAATCATTTATTGGTCAGCTGATCTGTCATTATTTACGGCTATGTTACATTTATCCACGCTATTAATTTCATTGAAGTCTATAAACTCTTACTTCAATTTAATATGATTTAAATCAATCTTGTGGCTATGAAACAATAATAAATAATTGAAAACTTAATTTAATACTTTAAACTAATTGAATAAATAACGGAAGTTCTGAAAAAAAAAGATTGCATTCCGCAACATGTAAAATCGCTAAAGCTTCTAACATTGTGTAAGAAATCAATAAGTTTCTATATCGAGTTAAGATGAAATTAGTGATTTCATTCTCAATAAATTGTCGTAGCTCTTTTCCTTTTCGGATTATTTTCAAAATCGAACCATTTTAAAGATTTTCTGAAGTAAAAATTCTTCTTAACCAAGAAAAGTTTAAATGAATTCCAACCATCGTCGATGAGTTCAAGATGTTTTTTGATCCCTTTATTTTCTGTTGGCCTTCTTTTAGAAAGTTCATCTATACTTCTATTGAAACAGCTTATACGAATTTGTATCGGAACCTTAATTCGAATCCTTTTACTCTGTATCGATTGATTCGAAACACAATACTTCTATTTTATTTTGGTAATAAAACTCATTCGTCTATTCATTTTTTAGTTTCGTAGTGAAGCATTGAATGATATATATGATCAAGTGGTTCGAACTCAAATTGCAGCGAAACTATTCGAATTACATTGTTAGAATGAAATATTGAATATGTCTAAACGTATTGAAGTAAAATTAAATAATATTCATTTGAAGAAAAATATTTCTTTGTTTTCTTCTTAGTTATTTATCAAAGATATGGTGTGCGAAGAAAAATCGTAATCAAAAATTATATGAAAAATGTAATGATGTAGTAGAACAAGAAAAATAAACCATATCTATTGTTTCTCGTTTTCATATGTTCTTTTAATAGATATTATTCAAATGAAAAAAAAGTGGTTCTCTATTTAATTTTCTTGTCCGTATTGAATTTTATTTTCAGACCATGACAGATTCAGAACTTGATACTCTTCGTGCTAAACGTTTAGCTGAATTACAACAACAACAACAACAACATGTTGGAGGTAACAAAAATGATAGAAATACAGCTGAAGAACAACGACAACAACAAGAAGATATGCGTAATACAATGCTAAGTTCATTATTAACACAAGAAGCACGTGCACGTTTAAATACAATTGCATTAGCTAAACCAGAAAAAGGACGAATGGTTGAAGATATTCTTATACAAAATGCTCGACGTGGTGCTTTCGGTAGTAAAAAAGTAAGACTAATTAACGAACGACTAAAATCATTGATTAAAATAAAAATCTTTTAGGTGAATGAAGAACAATTAATTGGACTTTTAGAACAAGTGAGCAAAGCAACAGAAAAAACAACTAAAGTTAATGTAAGATTATACATTTATTTTATTTAATTTAATCATACCTTTAACAAATCAATATCGATTTTCAAAAATTGACAAATAGAATTTCGGAATTATTAAGAGCCTTTCAGTAAAATTATCATAGATCCCTGAGGAAATTACGATTGATAATCAATTATCTGATTTACCGTAGTTATGACAGTATCTCTTCTATAATATTTTTGATGTTATGAATCGTATTTGAATTATTCTCAGATTTTGATTGCAAATTTTACATAAATATTTGTAATGAATAAAAGTTTTTTTTGATAAATATGTTCTTATAAATTTAGTTTGACCGACGACGTGCCGCACTTGATTCTGATTCAGACTAATATTATCTTCGACAATTGACAATCACATTGATTTTTACACATTTTCATTTGAATGCACTGTATTTTACTCACTACTAGTTTTGTTAACGAAAGATGCTCAGCCTTTTTAACTTTACTGTATAAATAAACCCGTTTTTTTCTAGATAACTTTTTCTTTTCATTTTATAGAAAAAATGGGCGTCAGAACATATCTTTGAATGAGTTTTGTCACTTATCGGTCTATCGTCATTGTGAGTACAGATATGATTCAGTAATATTCGTCTCAGTAATATTGAAAATATATTAAAATCCGATAAACTCATATGCAATCGTTTTAATATGGTTCACAATTTTTTTTTGGAAGCGATCCTATCTCTGCTAGAAGAGATGATACATTCGTATCGTTATTTCTTACGAGGGAAGTTCTCAACTGATAAATCATTTCTGATACAAGACTATGTGCCTTATGTAGACTCAAATGACCTGCGAATATTCTGAAAATGATTCGTTGTCTTAGCTTATAGCTAGGGAGATACTACATTTTTAGGGTATTTTTTAAATGAATACCATGGTCTCGCATCAGGAAAATTTATTTTCAAATCTCAACTTGAAACTTTGCACAGAGATATGTCTTAACGAGAATAGTGTATTCTAAAAGCTTCAGATCTTTCCGATATTCCTATTCTAAGATACAATTATGATAAAAGTGTGTCATTAGAATTCGTCATACACACTGGTAGATTCGATGATCTTTTTTTCATATAGAAGCAAACCAAGAGACTTGGAACTTTCACAATAAACTCTTGTCATTAAGACTTGTCTCTATACGACGTTTCAAGTTAAAATTTCAACAATCAGTTTTCCTAATGTTTTTGGGAAGGGAACCATGTCATTTATCAAAAAATACTGTAAAAATATAGTATCTGCGTAGCAATAAGCAAAAGGGTATGAACTTTGTTGAAGATACTTATACAGTAGTGGATAAAAGACCTTCTTCCAGCAGATCTCAGCTTCCTTAAATGCATCCCATTAGAAGAAGATTTTTTTCTGAGACTCATAAGCAATAATGTTCAATTATAGGCAAAACTTCCTTAAAGGTTTCAGCTCGATTTACTAAAGTATTACCGAGTTACAGTCTACGAAGGGCATCAGGAAGTCTTTTGTCCCTAAAATAGTCACAATAAATGGTGTAGACAGTTGAAACACAACCATATCATTACCACCCATCGTGATTCCTATTGTGTTTAAGCAACTGGGGTAAGCCAATGGCTCTCATCTATATTCTTGGTTGATGATGTGCACACCAATTTTCAGACCTTCAGTACCCATGGTAAGAAAGATTTGGTGGGATAAAAAACGTTTGCCCACTACTGTAGTTTAGTTAGGTCTGCGTAATGCACTTAGCCCCGACTCAAAAGTGATGAGTCAGTCAAGATACTTTCCCATTAACTTATTGGGGATATTGTACCAGCAATAAATACGATATTTATTACGAATGAATACAGATTAGTTATATTAAACATTCGATAATTCGTATTGGCCAGTAAACACGAAATATTTAAGCAAAACAATTTAATGTTGAAGAGCAACTTGAACATACATAAGACTCAATACTGTGATGACAGGACTGAAAAAGATGATTAAAATAGTTATTGTGTATATTTCTTTAAAATTGATTATTGATGAAATGCATGAGAAATCGAATGTATGCATACTGTTCTTTCTAAACAACCAGTTCAGCAATTAGGATAAGATTGTCTTTTGTTAGGTCAATAGTGAATCGATAAAAAGTAATAAAGATAAAGTTGAAATCTTTAACATATAGAACATATCAAAATAAATATATTTGCTATGTTATTTTATTAGAAATTATAGATATGAAATAATACATATATCTAATGACCGAAAATACTCCTACTAGACAACATCATCCATCATTGACTTCCTTAAATATTGGTAGTTTTTCTACATCACCAGGTAGTAATACTACTTTCAATCGTAGTCGTCGTTCATCATGGTCTGATTCAAAAGTAAGAAAGTTCGAATAAAAATTTTTGTCAATTATTGATACACAGATGTTTTTTATTTTGTTCAATAGAAAGTTTGGAATGTCTCTGATGAAGCAGAAAGCTATTCTGATTCACGTACATTGATATTAAAAAAATTAGATATTTATTATCGTAAAGTAAAACGTCAAATTCTTTCTTTTCAAAGTTTAACAACTGGTCTTTTTCCAAATCATCTCGAACCAAATAAAAATGTAGCACATGTTGTTGAAAATGTCTTTTGTGCTATTGCCGTATGGGCATTACGACAATGTTATTGTAAAATAGATAATGATCAAGGACGAGCACATGAATTAGGACAAGCAGCTGTTAAATGTATGCGTGGAATTCTTAATTGTTGGATGAAACAAGCAAAAAAAGTATGTCAAAAAAGATTTAATTATTAGAAATAAATCAATTGATTTTTAATTTTTATTTAGGTTGAAATATTTAAAAGTGAACAATCACCACATGATGCCTTACATTCGAAATTTAATGTTTTCGATGGTAGTGAAATTGAAGGTGCCGATGAAGTTGGTCAATTACAAATATGTGCTATTTCAATTTATTTACTTACACTTGTTCAAATGATAACATCAAATCTTGAAGTATAAGAAAAATATAAATATTTATAAAGTGATAAGTTGTGCTTTTTTTTTCTCTTAAGATTATTTTTTCTATAGATGAAGTTGATTTTGTGCAACAACTTATTTTTTCGATTGAACGTGCTTATCGTACACCTGATTATGGTATATGGGAACGAGGAAGCAAATATAATACAAATACATGTGAACTTCATGCTAGGTATAGAATTTATTGAAAAAAATTCTTACTGTCTTAGTTTTCATTTTGAGAAAAAGTTATTTTTGATCGCTGATTTTTGTCAAGTTTTGTTCTTTCATTATTTCTTATCGGGTGCTTCTACACGATACATACAACTCCTCATTCACATTCAATACATTGCTGACAGAGATAAAACAGATTAATTTATGATCAAAGTAATTAGTGAATGGAGCGCATGTATCTGTAGACAAACTACATATTCATTTAAAAATATCATATGCTAGGTTAATATTGTTATATGTATATATTGACGAAATCATTCGTTAGTCGTGTGACTTCGCACCTAGAGCTACTTTTTATATTTTAAGTTATTCTAGATATCCTAAAAATATCAGCTTTAGCGATGTGATACAGAAAAGAGCATTGACTTCATGCATTTTCTCTTAAAGAAACTTCGAATTGATGCAGAATTACATAGTATGTTCTGTAGACAATTCTTAGAGCTATAAAATCTTTGTCCAAAATTTTTTCCGAACATGCTTAGATTTTTCAAAAAAAATTGATTTATTTTTTGTTAGTGATGTGACAGAGTACGGAAAAACACTTTTATAACTGAATGAGAAGTTTGGAATCAGTGGCACACATTCTTCTTCAGAATCTTTAGATGATAATAAGACAAAAGCTTCTATTTTGGAGTTTAATAGGGTCTTCAAAGAATGGGTTTTAACAAGGTAGTTTTTTGCAGTCCGGTCTTGCTGAAAATATTACCATAGATACGATTCGTGCCGTAGAGCGTGTCCTAAAGTTCTCATATTTTTCTCATATAGTTAGAGAGATATCCGCTAACTATTGTTTAATCAATAGTCAACTGAAAGAGTCAGCATTTTTTGCATATATCTATGCTAAAAGAACTTATTCAGAAAAAGAATCCTTGTAAAGAATCCAAGTCAAATAAAAGGTGACACCCGTAAAACTAATTGATCTGATTGATAATAGGAAACACCACAAGATGAGGGTGAGGTTGTAATCGGTCTGGAGTAACACCTACACTTAATTGACAAATGAATAATAACGAAACTTAACGATCAAAATTATCTAAAATCCTTTGATGTAGGAATGTGCTCTTTCAATTGTTCTGTCCATCAGCGTCACTGACTCAGTAGATCTTGTGTCAGTGACATACTGTCAATATTTGAGTATTGAAAGCCACTCTACACATCTCTAATTTGTTGATCAAAAATACTGTCATCTTTTCATTTTGGATTATAGTTCAATCGGTATGGCAAAAGCAGCACTTGAAGCGATGAATGGTTTTAATTTATATGGTGATCAAGGAGCTAACTGGTCTGTAGTTTATGTTGATGTGGTATGAATCAAGATATTTATCAAAATTTTATTTTTTTTTAATATCTGTACATATATTTGATTTTAGGATGCTCATAATCGAAATCGAACAACATTTGATACACTTCTACCACGTGAATCAGCATCAAAAGTAAAATTTTCTAGAAATCAAGAATAAATATAGACATTAATGCTTATATAGAATACGGATGCTGCTTTATTATTGACAGTTGGTTGGCCAACATTTTCTATACATAATGAAACACTTGTAGAAAGTACAATAAGAAAATGTATAAGAAAATTACGCGGTACACATGGTTTTAAACGATTTTTACGTGATGGTCAATATACAGATTTAGAATCAAAAGGTGAAAGATTTTATCAAGAAGCAGAAATTAAAGTAAGAATTAAAAATAAATATTGACTAATTTAATTACATGAATATTTTTATTTTTTAGAAATTTGATAAAAATGAATGTGAATGGCCTATGTTTTTTGCAGTAATGGCAATCGATGGTAAAGAAAAAGAAATGATCTATTTGTATAAAACCAACAATTCTATCTCTTTTAAATTACTATAAAATTCTGGCAACATTTATTTTACGTTTCCCGGGAAATCAAATAAAATATATAGGACAGAGAGAAGCCATGCAATTTCAAGAATCCCTATCACAATCAAAAAACCTATAATCTTATGATCGTTTTCTTCATTATATTCTATAATCTTTGTAGTGAGAGCAATTAGTAATGGAAAAAAAGATTGATTATCATCGTGTGATGATATGTAACCATGTTACAAGTGAGTAAACTTATAGATATGACTTATTGTGTTAATATTACTTGCTACTCTTATCATACAAGCATTTGAATATTGAAAAAATTTTTGATGATCATCACTTATTCTTAATGTGTTCACCGAAATTTTTTTGTCGTGTGTCTAAATACTGATGAATATGTTTATAAACGATAATCTTCATGGGTTACGTCTCTTTTTGTGTGATTCCACTGAACACGATCATTAATAATAAGAAAAAAAAACTTTTTTTTTTCAAGTTGATATTCGATCAAATTAGCAGTGAACATGACTTATTTTCCGTCAAAAGTGATTTTTTCGAAATAGAAATATTAATCTCTTGTACTCAAACCTAAGACCGATGAAAAAGACCACTGGTGATGGAAAATCTCGAAAAAATACTTTATCTGAAACATTGAGAAATGGTTAATTATTCAATGCAACTTTTCACGTCGATTTCAAATATGTCTTTCTTTTTCTTTTAAAATGCTTCTGTAACAAAGAAATCACGAAAAATTTTAAAAAGCCAAGCTTTTCAGAAAACCTATATCGTAGTCTAGAAGCACTTGCGCTAAGTGATTTTATGCCCCAGTTTTGTCAATACTGGATTAGTAGAAAAAAGTGGCGACCACTTTTACTGTAGGCATCTATTCGGAAAACGCTTATGAGGGAACTATCCGAACTGATATCTGCCGTTTCAGCTTGTCGGATGCTCATTAGAAGATCTGAGTAAGACTAGAAAAAAAGCGAAAATGGTCCGTTGCCGCAAAAGACAAGCCTACTTGAAAACTCAGTATCTTGACAAAGGAGCATTCTTGTCAACTGAAGCTTCCAAGATATTCTACTGGTAATTCAACCTCTTTATTGTCAGAGTTTCAGATTGAAATGTCGTTATTTAATTTTTCGATAAATATCTCTCTGCCTTTCAGCTACCGTATGGTATGCGGTACACCCTAGCGACAGATTCAGCAGTTCTATATTTTTTCTGCAACTAATACTAGGTGTAGCTCTGAACAGAAGGTTTGCCTAAATCAAAGTTGTTGTGCTCAATTGCCTGAACTTCCCATACACACTGACTAATCACAATACTAGCTACGAGGACTGGTCTATGCCACAGCTTAGTCAGCATGTTATGGAACGAGTAATTCGATGCAAACAGCCGCCAGTGACTTATCCAAAGTCATTCCATGGTCAAGAGTGCCGCTGTTTGAATACAATACTTACTGTATAAGTGCCAAATCGTGTAGCCACTTCTCCATGATGACCCGGCTCCAGAGACTCATGGGCACTAACTTCTTTAGGAGTTTTCTAGTCTTGTCGAAACCTTCTCCTGGTGCACCCAATATGAGCTTCAATGGTGGATATCAGTTCGAGTAGCTCGCTCTTCAGGGTAAAAAGAACACTTCTGATTTCAGAATGAAAACTTTTCTTATAAATCAATACAGCACAAGTCCTAGTTTCAAACTATATACGATTTATTGTCCAATTTTTCTTATTTTTCACAAAGAAATGATGTTTTTTTCTAATAGTGTTGGAATTAAAGTGCATAAATTACTTTTCAAAGTTCAATAAAGTGCACTTTCATTTTTTATCTAATGTCCACTTTTTTACTCACTGTTTGAATTAAAAACAAAAATCAACTGAAATTTATTATTATGAATATCATACTTCTTTTTAGGTATCTTCAAAAATAATCAAACTCAAGTTGACGAATATTTAAATGCATTAAATCCTCTTTTACGACGAACAACTGAAGGTAAAATAAATATAATCTTTATTCAAGAATGTTTTAAAAAAAATAGAATGATATTGCATCCCATAGTACCTTGCCGCACGAGTTCATCTACAACTAATACCGAATGCGAGTCATTAAAATCACGTATGATCATATTGTTCATAGCCGTTGTTTTTTGTTGTTGTTAACTTTTATTATCAAAATTCTTCTATTACATTAGCGAAAAACAAGTATTCATTAACTTCTCGCTCTTTTACTACTATGCTTGACAAAGGTAGCAATTAAATATCATATGCTTATTTGTACAAACTAACACCGAATAATTTTTCTTCTGTTATAATTTTAATATAATTTATATATCACATATGTATATCTTGTCCTTTAATATTATTTGAACACTATTTCTTGTTTTTACTTTTATTATATTTAAATAATTAATTGAATTTTGTTTCTTTTTAAAAGGTGACATGATGGCTCATTATTATTATATTGATCATGCTAAACAACAAAGCAGTGCAGAAAGTGAATCTAGTGAACGTAGCACTAATCAACAGATCCCATTTGCTTGTAGTGCAGAAATTCTTCAAGGAAATTTTTTTCTTTTTGGTCAATCTGTTTGGATTATATGTCAATTACTTGGTAAAATTATAGTTTTGTATTTTCTTCTTTCATAAAAAAACAGTTGCTTTTTTTTGTTTTTGACTAGTTGATAAACTTTTAACAGTTACTGACCTCGATCCTATTCGACGTTATTTACCTCCATGTGATCGACCAAAACCAAACTCAAGATATTCATCTATACAAGTATATCTTATGAGACATTATCTCAAAGAAGTGTTGAAACGAACATCGATATTCTCATCCCTCTTCCCCACTCTGAACGTGACAGATAGGGTGTCTCGTGGTGGCCAGAATTAGAACTTCGCCTTCGAAAAAATGAAAAATGGTCAATATGAGCTGGGGGAGAAGTGAGGTGACTCCTGGCCACTCCTGTTGATAGGAATAGTAGATTGTAATAGAATATCAATGTGTTGGATAAGTTTTTTCTGCATCCTGTACTTGACGTTAGAAATTTGGAGGGCAGAGAGATGGGATCGGTATTGGTACATCGGTTATTATCGTCGAGAATATGTAATGAAACTTTGTTGAATATTTACTATGTCAAATATTACTATCCATCCATGGAAGAGTACAACAACCCGTCAGTCCAGTATCGATATGGACTTCAGACCGGTTTCATCTCTGGTGTAGGGTAAGGCAACTGTGCATAACTCTACAACAGAGCCGTAAGATGTTTTTACTTTTGAATGACTCAAAGTATAGATTACATAGAAGACTGACTGATATCGCTTTGTGTAAAACCTTATATGAAAGTAGTGTTCCAGATATTTTTATTTGTCGTGATTGTATTGGATACACAAAAAGACATGCTTTTATTTTCTTGAGGAATAAGTTAAAGAACGATTAGGAGATGTATCTCAACAGAAATAGAATTAAACTATCTCTCTATGATTAGTCATAATATCTCTATCATCTTTCATATTTCAATTACGCAAAATTTATGCTAACATCTTATTTGATTTGAACTTCTTTATAAATAGGATGCATCACGTTATCAATATTCACCAAACATACCTAAATTAATAGCAAATCAACCAGGTGATACAAAAAAACACCTAAGTAGATCAATGTTATCAAATGTAAAACTCCATAATCATTCATTTGAATTCTGCTAAAACAAAATAAACATTATTTAATTAGGTAACTGTTTCGGATCTCGTCATTCATATTGTTGCTATATCAGAATCAGTTCGTTTACAACAAGTATTAGCAACATATGGTATTCAAACTCAAACACCAAAACAAATTGAACCAATTTTAATATGGCCACCAGCAGAATTAGTTAATGTATGATTTTCGATCTTTTATAAATTTAAATCTTATTTATATTAAATTTTCAGGCATATGGACATTTAGGTGCTAATGGAAAATTTGGTTTTAGTGGACGTCCTATGCGACCGATTGGTGTACTTGGTTCATGTAAAGTAAGCAAATTTCTTTTTTCATTTATTGATAAAAAATATTTTGTTTTTGTTTGCATTTTAGGTCTATCAAATTGGTTCAAAAACAATCATATGTTACCCATTAACATTTGAAACAACAGACTTTTATATGTCAAGTGACATGACTTTACTATTAGATAATATTCGAGTAAGAATATTTTTAAAAGATGACTAATATCATAAATACAAAACAATCTTAAATGAAAAAGATAAAACTACAGATTGTCGGTTGAATCAATTTCGAAAAAACAACAAGCGATGTGTAAACGTAGTTTTTAAAATATTTTCATTTATTCAGAGTGATTTGGAATTTATTACAAGATGTTGGCGTCTTAAAGGTCGACCAATTTATTTAATAATGTTACGTGAACATCATCTTCGGTATGAAATTTCTCAATAATTTTTGCTTTTTTTTAATGAAAACAAGTTTTTAAGAGGACCACAAAGATCAGATGTCTTAGAATTATTAACTCAAATTCGTCAAGGCAAAGTTTCATCAACTATATGTGTACGACTTGAACGTTTACAAGTATGTTCTTAAATTAAAAATAATCAAAACTAATTCGAACGTAATAAACTTTGTTCTTTTTTTGTTTTGTTTTAGACAGCTATATCAAGTGCTTGTATGGAACATCTTGATTTTTTAAATAATTCAATATGTTCAACGATTGAATGGGAATCAGTTGCTGTAACTGAATATAGAAATGCAAATGATATTGGTCATTATAAATCCTTAACAGATATAACAAAAACCGTTATTCTCAGTGACGATATTGATTATACTAATCATGTATGTGTATATATACATTAGTTTTTTTTCTTATATTGGTTTTTATTTTTAACTTCGTAGGAATTTAAAGATCGACATGAAATAGACTTACGTAATTTTATCTGTAATACAGATGTAGCACTAGGCTCATTAAAGAAACATGCATTGGCTACATATGAATTATATTTACGTGGCGGTCTTGATTGGATGATTAAAGATAACTATCGTGTGAAAAATCATCTACAATGTTTAATGAAAGAAGCAACAACATGTCAAAATTGGTATTATTGAAATATTGATTTAAAACAAAAAAGTAAAGTTCTTTTTTTTTTTTTACTTTAATTTGTAGGGCTGTTATTCGTTTTGTATCGAGTCTGTTACATAAAATGGTTGATAGTTTAGCTCCATCTGTTACTAATTTACTCGTACGAGGGAAAATAGTTAGTATTTTATATATTAGAATTCCTATATATATGAGTTTCTTTAATTATTTATTCTTAGGTCACTATTGGAGTTTTTGGTCATGAAGAATCAGTTATTGATAAACCGGTATTTTGATAGTTAATATAAATACATTTTGTTTTGTATTTTTTTTTCTTTGTTTAGATGCGTCCAAATGAAATTTTTAAGATACTTTATAGTGATAATGTCTTTGGTCGTAGTATATTTCATGCTGTTCTTTTACAAGAATTACTTCTTAATATTTCAGTATTTATGAACACATTTCCAGTTAGTTAAAATTTTAAAGTACTATTTATACTAAATTTTTTTTCTTCTAGCAACTTTTTAATGGTATTCTTAAAATACGACTTGGGTATGGAAAATATTCCGTTAACTCTTTTTTTAACATTCTTCTTATTCAATAGATGGCTACTTGAAGCAATGAAACTTGGGTTAGAATTTTTCAGAACTGAGGCTGAGGAGACTGTCGTAAGTATTTTTGATCTTTATTTTTTGTGAAACACGATACAAAGAGAATGTTGAAATATACGGGTAACAATCTGAGCCCTTCGCACATAATCAGAATTGAATAGTCGCCGTGATGATCCGAGATAGTTTTTTCAACTTTTGCTATTCGGTAACTACCCCTAGGTCAAGTAATACAAGTCGTTTTTGATCGGTAGATGGTAGGAGCTCTGAAGCATTGAATCCGACATTTTTAGATTCGGATCCGGTCCCAAGACCAACCGAGCGGGCTGTATTTGGGACTTGAGTAAAAGGATGATGACAAAATGTGTCTCAAAATAGATAGAATAAATCAATTTTCTTGTTATAAGCAACAACAGCTACATTGTGTTTCATATTGGAATCTGTCAGAAATTGTCCTAATAGTTTTCTTAATTAATAATAATATTTTTTAAAAAGACATTAAATACAATATCACCAAATGATATCAAACAATTACTTTATTATGTTTTAACAACTAATTCACAACAATCATCATTACAAGGTGCTGATATCGAAGCAAGGTAAATCTTGAAAATAAAAAAAATTTATTATATTATTTTTATTTTCAATAATTAATTAGATCATCATTTCAAAAACGACAAATGGATGGAGCTTTATCACGTGTGCCGACGAATTTTTATGAACATGTTTGGTCTATACTTGAACGAACACCAAAAGGAATTAAATTGTGCAATATTTTACTTCCACAAGTAAATTTAGAGAAAACTCAATGATAAATATTTTTTTGTTGTTTTTTTTTCCTAGCAACCAACATTATCTGATATGACAGATTATGAATTAAATTTTTCATTGAAAATTGAAGAAATGTTAAGTCGAGTTTTTGATCCAGCTTATCGTTGTCTTGTTGTAGAAGTAAAATAAATTATATTAAATTTTTCTTTTAATATCTTTTTTAAAAATTTAGATGTTTGAAGCAATAAATGTTTTACTTCAACGTAATCCAGAATTATGTTTTATTCAACCGCTTGATGTTGATTATTTAATAAATGAAGCAGTTAAATTATTTCAACAACAAAATAATTCAGTAGATCCTTATAAAGATTTTTATAATCTTCCAATTAGTCTTGTTGGTGGTTCAACTGGTTATATGATTCAAGTTATAATTAATTATCTATTTAATGTTCATATTCAAAAATCGGATTTTGCTGATATAAATGTTGGTGCCAACACTAATATATGCAAGATTTCATGATTAAATCAATCATTTAGTAAATTTGTATTGTTTAAAAGGAAAAAATCTCGCGAATGCTCAATATTTTAGCATTTCTTTTTGATGATTTTTTATAATGATTCGTTAGCGTTTTTCAATGACTTCCACAGTCATTAAAATTTGTGTTCCTATGAGTTTTTTCCTTTTATGCATATAGATATATATTTTATTGAAATTCGCAAGAAAGATTTATGAAAATTATCTGTAGGCAGTCCAATTAGCTTTCGCATTATTTACTTTCAAGATATATTTTAACTTACCTTTTTTTCTAATACTTCCCTGCTTGTCTTTTTTTTCTTCTTTTGTTTGTAATTAGTCATTTGTTTCCTGTTCATGGTATTTTGTTCTTTTTTGTTTGCAGCTAGACCAATTAGTTGTTAGAAATTCTCACCGATTCTTTACTTGGTAATTTTAAGCATACACAAAAGTGAAACTACTTAGTTATTTTATTTAAGATAATAAAAAATAATTGAACGAAAGAAATTATTTTTGTTTTTATTTTTAAACTAAAAGTTCAAAGAATATATCATCAAATATAAATGGTAACACAAAATGTGTTAAGAGATATTATGATAAAAGTTATGGAATTGAATGTTTAATATCGAAAAGAGAAAATCAGATTTCGAAAATTTTCAATCACAGATCAATTTTCATTTGAAATATGATTTTTCAATTTTATGAGTTTTAACGAGCTGACGATTGAACTAGTTGATCAAAAAAGTGTTCAGTCAGTTTTAACCAACATAATTGATTTTATTGATTGACATTTTTTTATTCATAGAAAAGACTAATATTCACAGTGTATATGTTGTGCGACAGGCTTTGAGGTTTTTTAATCCTTATTATTGGCAAAGATGCAATCATTGTAAAATTTGATAGAACATTTTGAAGTACCATGCTGGTTAGAAGCTTGAGTGTATGTTGAAATTGGATTAAAGTTAAATTGTTTTTGATGACATTTACCGAAAGCATGACTTGAAAAACTACGACTGACTTAGAATGTAGTTACTTGTCAAACACTACTGTGTACCAATTCTCTATCAATAGGTTTAATCAAAATAATCGATTACATGAAGTTTGCTTTCATGATTAAGTGACGTTTCATAACTTTAGAACATTGCTTTTCTGAATAAAGGTTTTTTTTGTTTTGTTTGATATTGATCCCAGTTGTACATATCTATTCGGAGAAGTATTAAAAACTTTTTATTTCATTGGAAAATTGAAAATTTGAAATTCTGCCACAATGAGGTTTTCAGCATACTTTTCATATGTAGTATTAGTGTCTACTACATCGAAGAATATTATTAAAAGAAATTTGCTTGTTTTTTTATAGATGACGATTCCAGTAATTGATCTCAGTCCACTATGGGATTCAACATCCACAGGCTTATCGAAAATTGCACAAGAATTTACTTGTGCATTTCAAGATATGGGCTTTGCTTATATCATTAATCATCGTGTACCACAATCGATTATTAATCAAATTTTTATTCAACATCGTCATTTTCATGCATTACCATTAGAAGAAAAGAATAAAATTCGTTTGAATCAATGGCATAGAGGATATCTTCCATTAGCATCATATCAAGTTAAATCTGATTCAAAATCCAAGGGTGTATTAATTGAAGACATTAAAAAAGTTGTTAAAGCACCAAATCAAAGTGAATCATTTATTATTAATCATGAACATTTCGAAGGACCATTTGATTTAAAAAAAGAAGATCTATATAATCGATATTTACAAGGTCCTAATCAATGGCCTCATGGCATGCCAGAATTTCGTCAAGCTGTACTAGCTTATTATTATGAATTAGAAAAATTAGCTCTTGAATTAACAAAAGTATTTTTCGCTGCAAGTAAAACTGATTTTGATCGTTTTGCTCAACATTTTCAACGGCCATCAATTGGTTTACGTATGCTTCATTATCCACCACAACCATCACCAATACCAGAAGGTGTCTTTGGTAGTGCGCCACATTGTGATCATGGTTTTCTAACTATTTTATCTCAAGATGATGTCGGTGGTTTAGAAGTAAAAACACCGAATGGTGAATGGATTTTAGCTCCGAATATGACTTCATCAAATGGTGAAACTGCTTTTCTACTTAATCTTGGTGATAGTGCTTCGAAATGGACAAATGATTGTTTACGAGCAACTCCTCATCGTGTTATTAATCGTTCGGGTCGTGATCGTTATTCTATTGTATTTTTCTGGGATCCACAATTAGATTTACTTATTGATACTCGCGATTTAGGAACTCGATGGTGTCCAGCTGATAAAGAACCTAACTATAAACCACAATCATATGGACAACATTTAAAAAATTTATTATCTCATAATTATGCTGAATTATATAAAACAATTGATGGTGCTAGTAATGAAGATAGTGACAATTCAAAAAAAGATCCAACATAGTGTTGAATTAATGTCATTTTTATATCGTCTATATAAATCCATTTGTAACTATGAGTATTGCTGATTTTTGTTACAATTTTTCTGTTTTCGTTTTTTGATTCTGTGGAGTTTATATAGAAAAGTGATTGTGCTACTTTTCGTAGTTTGTATTGAGACTCATTCGTTAAAAACTAACGTCAAAGTGGAAGAATTTTTCTACTTAAAAAATATTTTTTTTGTAATTTTGAAAGAATTTTTGATTAAAAGATTTTAATCTAGCATCATAAACTAACCATTCTGATTTACATGAAGTGAACTGGTATTTTATTTTAGTCTTATAAATACATGTAAACCAAAACACTGAAAAATCTTTTGATATACTTCTTATTCTATGATGAAACACACATAGACATACGTCTTATGAGTCAAGCTTTAAAGGATTTCGATCCAGAACTTACTGATACATAATTATGACTGTTTTAAAAAAATTGTTCCTGAGAGCACAGCATTTCCGAGAAATCTTAGCCATTAGATCTTTCTTGAAATATTCAATCTCCAAGAAAAGTAGCAGTTTAAGATAGGAGAACATCATAATTGAGCCTACTAAAAAATCGATTATCTGAAGAAAGACAAGTTCGTTTTTTGTTGAAACTTGCAAGGTCATCTAATAACTATCAAATGTATCTATAGGCAAAATAACTGGTTGAAACTCTTTGTTTTAGATTTTTCGGAAATGATTTGCTCTCAGTAAATGTTTCATTTAAACGACCATAACTCTTTATCAGTAAGCTGTCAACCTGAGTTCTCGTCGCGAATGTACGGATATGAATAAGAATCTTTTGTGTATTCTCATTCTCAATGTTCCGGCAGGATACTTTAAGATTACTATGTCATGCGACGGATCGTCCTAGCATGGAATATAAGTCCGTATGCGCCGTACCCGCGCAGTGGTGGATCCTGAAATTTCTGAAAGGATGGACGGATAAGCTGAAGTTAGGAGACGCGAATAAACGAAACGGGGGTGCGGATGAGACTAAAGTGCATCATTTTCAAAGAAAATCCATAGAATGAAACGTTGAGTCAAGTCCGATAGGAAAGGCGGGAGGGGAGACAGTCACAGCCTTCCCCCTCCTAGATCCGTCACTGTATGTGTATAAATATGATAAAGGGTGCATAACATGATAAAATAATTTGGAAATTGGAAGTAAAACTATTAAGATCATGAATATGGAAGTTATTCTTCTTCTCTCGAATTCCTAATTAAAGAATACAAGCATTAGAAATTAAAAAATAGTGCAAACTACATGCTCTTTGTCTCTGCATATTTCATGAAAATAAAAAGTATTTATGGTATAACATATATCAATTTCAAAGGGGATGGCGAGTGCCACTCCTGTTGCCCCTGAATCCGCTACTGCGTACCTGAAACTTCAAGTCCAGTGCTGACTGCTATCAGTTTTAGATAATGAGTGATGACTAAAAAATAGTAAAAGTAAGCCAACAGTAAAGATTTCAGGGTTGGCTATAGTAGATCTACGCAAAGTGAAATATATATGATTCGAAAACTGAAGAGCTACGGGCATCCTATAAGAAAGTCAACGATGTTAAGGAATATCCGAACCTTAGAGTGCTCCTATCATTACTCACATATATCGACGCGTGACTAACATATTAGCTGAAGCGTTAATTTCGATGTATCCAAGCTCTCTGATCAACTCAGTTTATCAACATGATCTTCTATTCTGCACTATTTTGTACTTAAATGTCACACTGCCAGAATAGATTGATCAGTATGTAAAGAAATTAATTATGAAACGTTCATGATCTTTGAAAAATTACATGCAGAAACGAATATGATACTTTTCAATTAATAGAACTTGATGAATATTTCATAAACAACATGATTTTATCAAAAAAAGAAATATTATTTCATATCTTACTTCAAGCTCTGAACGTTGAATAACAATTAAACCGAATACTGATATAGTTGCTGTTCGAGTGTACTTGTAGGTGTAGAATGGAATCATAACTACATCCACACCCTAACACAAGTTAAGCTTCATCTTTTGGATACGTAGCAAAGTTTTCTCTTAGAACCGCTAAAGTACATTCAAGTGTAATATTTCTACAATTAATATTCATAGCGATAATTGAATTGAGTTTTACAAGGGAACACTGTTATGTTCTTGGTTTAAAATAACATAATAATAGACTATCACATGTGGCATTGTCTATGTTTTAACATGACCATTTAAACTTTAAGTACCCTTCAAGTCCCAAATTTCTAATGACCGTCTCGAAACGTATCCAAAGTGAAGAAATTCGCTAGTAAAATCGATCATTTTCTCCTCATTTGAAGTTCTATTGGGAAAAATAGAGTATACCACGGGAACCAGCTGATCAAGCTCTACAAACTGGTATATCTCCCATTCAAAACTGAGATTTACACCTGGGAACCTTCCCTCGTTAGTATTATTTAACTATGTATTATATCCTCTGAATCGAAAATTCAGTATTAAAATCATCGACAACAGGTCAAGCTTGTGATCGAACATGCCAAATGAAATGAAGTAACTGCAATTTCAAAAAACAGCCAAAGTACCAGATATAACCTTGTGTTCTGAAATTGAATTAAACAATAATTGTAACGATTTTAAATAGAAGAAGAGCAAGCGCTGATGGAACTACGCTTTATTGTGTTTCTTCTTATCAAGAATCGCCTCGTTTACATACGAAACATACGTTTATATACTGATCCATGAGAGAGAAGGAAAGAATATCAAAAGAAAGAACA